CGTCTGCCAAATTACCGTAAATGTAAATATTCTCTACTTCTCACCCATGATGTACGTCTACGTTCAAATCAGTCATTTGAACTTTATGTGATGTGAGTATAACAATATATATTTTTGTTTTATATAAGTAGCAGATGAATAAAATAATTTTTAATTAGGGTTAAGCTTGGGCTAAATCGAATCAGATTTTGATTCATATCTTATAATGTGATAATTAAATGCAAAAATTCCTACAAATGAGATAAGGAAAATGAGTAATGAAAGAGATTTGCAATTTTGGGTGCATTCGTAAATTCAATCTAGAGTGTCAGAGTGCGCTCAGAGTGCGCTCTGGGCATTTGTAAATTTAGAGCGTTGTCAGATTGTCTATTCGTAAATTCAGAGCATTTCGCTCTCTGACCGTTGGAGTAGGGTTGATCCGAGCGTTCTGACCTCACAATGGCAGTCAAGCACACAAGCTAACTGGCTAAAGTTGGCTAGCTACTTACAGACATACAGTAAATCAGAGAATGCTGCACTCTAAACCTTTAACTCGCTCAGAGCTGGTAGAGCTGCTAGGGTGTTTTCATGTTATCAAGAGGGTTCGTGACTAACTGTGTTACTGGCAACAATTAAATTCAGTTTTATAGCCAATGTTTACTTACACCTGTCATAACAACCAAGTTTAGGGCGTTTGTAAATTCTTCAATTATTCTGAACTCAAACCAGTAGATTGCCAGTGTGAATTTATGAACGCACCATTTATGAAATGTGACTATAGACATATTTTTTTGTTTCAAAGAGAGAAACATATTTCATATTTCAACATTTCATATTTTTTTGTTTCATTAAGTTAACTTGAATTAGGGTTCAGATTGGGTAAAATTGGATTCAGATTTTGATTCATATCTTGTAAAGTGATAATTCAATGCTAAAGTTATTGCAAATGAGATATGGAAAATTTATGTTTTACAGACATTACAAAACTGTTCTACTATAGAAGCAATCTCCACTCTACTGGTGCGTTGGTGAAACATACAATGTTTTTTTTATTTTTATGGCCAAATCAATTTTAAGTAACGTCAAACCAAATATTGAGTTGATTTCAGTGGATTTCAGTGGATTTGGCAATTACATTTTTTTAATTGCACAGTTGCCCTTATCACTACCAATGATTATTAGCTAAATTACTGTTTTTTTCCAGGCCCATACTTTCAGGGTAAGGAACTATCCCTTTAACATTGAGGGGGGCGGCAGGTAGCTTAGTGGGTAAGAGCATTGTGCCAGTAACCGAAAGGTCGCTGGTTCTAATCCCCGAGCCGACTAGGTGAAAAATCTGTCGATGTGCCCTTAAGCAAGGCACTTAACCCTAATTGCTCCTGTAAGTCGCTCTGGATAAGAGCGTCTGCTAAATGACTAAAATGTAAATGTAAAAATGGGGGATTCATAAAAAAATAAAAGCACCTACTATGCAGGAACATCACCATCTAGTGGTCAGAACCTGGTAAGATCAGGATGTAGGATAGGATGTAAACCTAGCAACTTCAATGACTAACTTCTCTGAACAGGAGGGACTGACCACTAGATTATTTGATAATAGTAAACCTACAGTTGATGTGCACCACCTGGCTCTCTAGCTGGAAGGTGTGGCATCCTCAATGAACCACATCATAAGGAATCAATCTTGTCTGAATGATAAACTCTGATATAAATAAATGTAATTGACCACTGTAATTGTTTTTATGTATTATATTGTATTGTATTGTGCTCTTGTGCTATGCGTACACGCTGACTACTTCCTGCTGACCTCTTGACAGGTCCCTCTCGCAAAAGAGGTTTCTAACCTCAAGGATCTTTTCCTGGTTAAATCAAATGTCAAATGTACATTTACATTTACGTCATTTAGCAGACGCTCTTATCCAGAGCGACTTACAAATTGGTGCATTCACCTTAAGGGGGGGGGTAGAATGATTACTTTATCCTATCCCAGGTATTCCTTAAAGAGGTGGGGTTTCAAATGTATCCGGAAGGTGGTGAGTGACTCCGCTGTCCTGGCGTCGTGAGGGAGCTTGTTCCACCATTGGGGTGCCAGAGCAGCGAACAGTTTTGACTGGGCTGAGCGGGAACTATGCTTCCGCAGAGGTAGGGGAGCCGGCAGGCCAGAGGTGGATGAACGCAATGCCCTCGTTTGGGTGTAGGGACTGATCAGAGCCTGAAGGTACGGAGGTGCCGTTCCCCTCACAGCTCTGTAGGCAAGCACCATGGTCTTGTAGCAGATGCGAGCTTCATCTGGAAGCCAGTGGAGTGTGCGGAGGAGCGGGGTGACGTGAGAGAACTTGGGAAGGTTGAACACCAGACGGGCTGCGACATTCTGGATGAGTTGTAGGGGTTTAATGGCACAGGCAGGGAGCCCAGCCAACAGCGAGTTGCAGTAATCCAGACGGGAGATGACAAGTGCCTGGATTAGGACCTGTGCCGCTTCCTGTGTAAGGCAGGGTCGTACTCTCCGAATGTTGTAGAGCATGAACCTACAGGATCGGGTCACCGCCTTGATGTTAGCGGAGAACGACAGGGTGTTGTCCAGGGTCACGCCAAGGCTCTTCGCACTCTGGGAGGAGGACACAACGGAGTTGTCAACCGTGATGGCGAGATCATGGAACGGGTAGTCCTTCCCCGGGAGGAAGAGCAGCTCCGTCTTGCCAGGATTCAGCTTGAGGTGGTGATCCGTCATCCATACTGATATGTCTGCCAGACATGCAGAGATGCGATTCGCCACCTGGTTATCAGAAGGGGGAAAGGAGAAGATTAGTTGTGTGTCGTCAGCGTAGCAATGATAGGAGAGGCCATGTGAGGATATGACAGAGCCAAGTGACTTGGTCTATAGCGAGACATGTACAACTTAATGTAATTTTTCTGAAACCTGTGACACATCGCCTACTGTTGAATGCCTTAAAGTCTAAAGAGTATGAAAAAACATTGTCTGTACACATCCATATATTGATTGTTGTTTTAAGGGATCCACCAATCTTCTTTTATTGTTTACTTAAAGGGGAAGTTCAGTATTTTTTAAAATACATTTTAGATGGTTACTCAACCTAAAACTAGTCTATGGGCCTGAAAAAAAGTATAATTTAGCGAAGAAAAGAAAATGCCCTGGAAGAGAAGGCGGATGGAGTGTAAATCCGGTTTGTCTAGAAGGGATACAGCTTTTCTCAAAAATTTACTTTTCGTAGCAGATTAGAAGGAGTAGGTTAAGGTTAGGAAAAGGGTTCGGGCAGGGCTGTCAAACTCATTCCATGGAGGGCCTAGTGTCTGCTGTTTTTTGGTTTTCCTTTCAATTAAGACCTAGATAACCAGGTGAGGGGAGTTCCTCGTTAATCAGTGACCTTAATTCATAAATCAAGTACAAGAGAGAAGTGAAAGACCACAAACACTCAGCCCTCCGTGGAGTGAGTTTTATACGTGGTGCATCAGGAAAATTCTCTGCAACAAGAGTGATCAAGTTAAGATCCGACATCTGTAGTTCCCAAAATCTCTCTGTCTCTCTCTCTCATAACTTCAAAATACATTTTAACAGTATAAGACGAATAATCCTTAATGTGATGTCATGTCAAATAATCCTGTATGTTTAATAATATGAGAAGATAGGCTTGCTATTGTCGCATGTTTTATAATCTCTTAATTAAACATGTCCGTTCCTTGTACCCATGCATAGTATTTTCAATGTTCACGTAAAAAGTTTCTGGAATTAATTTAACCGTTTGATAACGGGTTAATTGAACGAAATTAGCACCCCTAATGAGAATTAAGACAATACAATATGAAGATGAGAAATAAAAGACAAACAAAAAGTGCATGTTCTGGAGAGGTAAAAATAAATAAAATACTAAAGGTCTTGAAAGGTGCCTCCCCTTTTAAATATTTATAGCTAAAAAATAGTAGAATCATGATAATTTCTTAAGAAAAAAAAGGGGGAAAAACACTGATATACTTGCATTCAGATAAACAGTTTACTCATGTGAGAATAAATAGGTCTCTGTGTGGAAGGGTTGAAGTGAGCTGTGACCTAGGTGTGGTGCAGGATATACAGTAAGGCAGAGATGGTGAAACAAGGATCTTTACTTGTGGTCCCGAAGTCAAAATAACGGACTTATCACAATAACAAAAAGGCAGAGCAAATAAGTCTCCAGAAAACCGGATGACAGCCAAAATACGAAATACTACCTAAGACTGAAACAAATAACGAAACAGGGAGAACACTTTTCAAGTACCTGTACATAGATCGTCGATCAGACACTGAGTAGTACTGCTGGACATAGAGAAACTAGCAGAGAAAACTGAGCAAGTGAACACAGGGAAGTGAGGGCATAAATACACAGGTGAACAGATAGACACAGGTGACACCAATAGGATGATGATTAGTCCTGACTGTGAGTGAGGAGGTGCCTAAGGTTGTCGGAGGATGACACCTAGTCGGATGTCATGACATCCGAGCGACGCCTCAGAATGGCCGCTCTGCCCTTTCTTTGTCTAGCCCCTATTTATAAACAATGCAAAAGATGGGTGGCTCCCTCTTCTGGCCAATCACCATCTCCCTGGGCGTCACACTAAACATTCCCTTTGATACTAAAATTAACGTCCTCTCTGGTTCCACTTAAAACATTAACAACGTCATAATCTCAATACACGACACGTCGCTCCAGAAATGCGACCCCCTCCTGTAACTGCGACCCCCTCCTGTAACATCTGTGCGTTTTACTATTCTTTGAAATTTGATGTGAAAAATTATTGCGAACATCCTACAATTGCAAAATGGTTGGGATTCACAAGAACATGAGCACTTGATTTTCTCTTGAAAATGAAGCTTAAATACTGAATGGCATTTGCTTTTGTTGTTTTAATGAATCATCATATTTTTCTTTATAGTTGCACTTGCACCTTTTGGAATAAAGTTAATGTGTTATCGCCTACCACAAATATGTAAATTGTACTATGTTTCTCTCCCTTTATAGTGAAATCTCATGGCATCATTTGATTTCGTCAGAGACAAATTAACTGAGTGGAACCACAGTGACTTGATTCAGAGGTTTGAAGGTGAAGATATTTGTGATGTATTATTATACATTGTATAATACATTCTGTAATAATACAATTATTTATTTGATTAAAATAATATATGTATTGTACATTGTATTATTATACATTAAAAGTAAAGATATCACCTCAATTGTAAACATGTATGTTTATTTGTTAATTTGATACAGTCATTCTTATTGTCTGATATTAATATGCCTAAAATGTATATTTCCTGATTTTCAGATGAAGAAATTGATGAAGAAGGTTTCCTCTCCCTTGAGGAGACTGACCTCATCAACTTGATCCCAAAAACAGGACCAAGGTCTAGATTTAGAAAAAAATACAACACATTTCTGAAGGTACTTTACAAACTAGGTGTACAATAACTACTGTTACACAGAGTGACTGGGTATGGTCTATATTTATCAGTACTGCATCAGTAGTGCAGAATAAACTGTTTGCATTTAGTTCTCAGCTGTGACATTTCTAACATGTCCACTGTACTGGCATATTTTTTACAGTTTACAAATGTCTTAGCATAACAGGAGATTTAGTGTTACCCATGTAGGATCTTAATTTGAGTCAGTTTGCTACAGCATGAAAATAATCCTGCAGCAACAGGAAATGTGAATTATTATGTGCATTATAATTAATGGACATTTTTGTAGAGTTTGATACATTTTTCGAAAGGGAAAATCAAGTGTGAAATTTCAAAGTGTAAATTATACATTTAAGGAGCCTTTTTAAACCTCAAATACACTACAAGTTTTAAATGTCCTGCATTGCAGCAACACATACATTTACGTCATTTAGCAGACGCTCTTATCCAGAGTGATTTACAGTTAGTGCATACACATTTTGTATTTTATTTTTTAATAATTGTTTTCATACTGGCCCCCCATGGGAATCGAACCCACAACCCTGGCGTTGCAAACACCATGTTCTACCAACTGAGCTACAGCTATATAATGTTAGCCTGTGTTCTAACTGCAGTCTGAAATGTTATTGTACCTTTCTTGTTCTTTGCTTTACAACTGAGAGTAGCATGACCACATTTAAAATACCCAAATGCGGGACAAAAGGATGATTTTGCGGGGCATTCGAGTGACAGTGTAGCCTACATGTAGCTGCACCGAATGAGCTAATTGAAGCGCGCCTATAGGCTACTCCTTTGCCTCGCGCAAAATTTGGTCATGCAGAAACGAGAGACCAAATGTGTGTATATTTTATGAAAATCTAGGAATACTTGGCCAAGGAAACATTGCTGGTTGGTCTCAGGGAATGTAAAACAGTTAGGAAGGGAGACTTTGAAAACCGATTGTGTGAAGTAGCAGCAAATATGTTAAATGAGCTTAATGAACATATAGAACCTTACAAGTTAGACAAAATCAACAATTATCTTTTCAGTTTACATACTTTTGTAGCTCTTCGTCAGAAGCATGCTTTTTTAACTCCAAGTTTTGGTGGAATTTAGACCAAAAGGATTAGACAAATGTGATTGGTTGAAGATATGACATTGGCCTTGCGCTGCGCAGAATATCAGATCTCAACAACTGTTGGAGAAGTGTTTAACATCACCAGAACCACATCCTTATGATAACTTGTCAAAATCGAAACGTGACTGCAAACAGAGATCATGATTTTTTGGTTGAGGAACGCGGGCCAAAAGGCCAAAATGCAGAACTGTCCCGCACAATCCGGGACATGTGGTCACCCTAACTGAGACATCTAATGTTTTCTAACTGCAGAAACGGCAGCAAACCAATGATGACAAGAACATTCAAGAGGCCACTTCTTTATCAGCCTCCAAGAGCTCCTCAGGAAATGTACCATCTTTACCCTCCTCTATAACCATTTACATGAAACCTCAGCCCTAAAGTACAATTAATTAACTAAACCAAATGCATCGTTTTTAATTTAGATAAGCATACAGACCTTTATATTTGTCACCCCTATAACCCAACATGGTATCTGTCCCCAGGTTACTGGTGAGATGGTCAATCAAGAGCCTTGTCAAAAGGCCATAAAAACCCCCCTCAGAAATGAACCTTCTAAATGCTCAGAGACTAAAAGGTAAGCAACACATCATTCCTTTATTCATCACTGACTACATATAATGTCCCGTTGGCGTGGACAAAATGACAATTGTTGTGACTCTTTCGCCAGGTCAATGGATAAACCCTTTGGTAAACCTGGAGGAAGTGTGCCCGTAACCGACACCTCTGGAGTGGGAGAAACAGTGTATGACCAGGTGGGTAAAAACTAGAGCTCATTTATCTGTGGTCACAGCTAAGGCAGGGGTCAGTGGTGATCCCAAGGCATCACTTCTTGGAATGTTTCATGCCATTTAACAGAGATGTACTATCATACATTAAGATATCAGTGCACTCCAGAGGGACTAAGTTAATAACAATCAAATGCACTTATTAAGCGCTTTATATTTCAGTCACTCTTATGCAGAACAACTTACAGGGAGCAAATAGGGTTAAGGTTCTCGCTCAAGGGCAAGTGCTTTTTCACCTAGTCGGCTTGGGGATTCAAACCAGCAACCTTTCAGTTACTCACCCAATGCTCTTAACCGCTAGGCTACCTGCCACTTTCTCATAGTCGCAACACTATACAACATAGCCAACATCTAATCTATAAACAACATCAGTCAAAGGTAATCAGTGAAAACAACATACAGGAAGAGACCAAAATTATTAAAGAAAATGCATCTCAAACTAAAGCAATTGTGCTTTTGTGGAATGATTCCTTTGTTAACCTGTTGATTATCTATGTGTTTCTTCAGAGTGAACCCTCAACCAGTAAGATACCCCCTCTTCAAGTGAATATCCCAGGTAAAAAGCACAGATGTTTCAGATTTACATGTTCAGAAAAACAACGCAAAAATACTAGTTTTAGAAGTTGACAACGAGAAACTTGTAAAGTGATACTATATTTATTTATTTTCAAAAAAATGTAATACAAATTACTCAGTTAATCATAAGTCATACTATTGAATTATGAGAGACACTTGCAAGTACCCTTTGTTCCATGTACCATATGCATAGAGTAAGTAGACAATTTGAAATAGTCCTCTGTAGCTCAATTGGTAGAGCTTGGCGCTTGTAACACCAGGGTAGTGGGTTCGATCCCCGGGACCACCCATACGTAAAAATGTATGCACGCATGACTGTAAGTCGCTTTGGATAAAAGTGTCTGCTAAATGGCATAATATATTAGATTTTTTTCACCGACTGATACAACTCATTTGCATCACAGCATTGGCTATAACGAGATTGGAAGATCTGTGACTGCTGTTGGATGATATGTGTATTAATTAATAAAATACTTTCCAATTGTTTCCAGGAAAAAGGAAATCTGATGAGACCCATGCAAACAAACAAACAAAGAAACGACAATGTGGTGCTGCTTCCAGAATAACTGAAACATTTGGTATGTGGATGGTGTTTATATGGACCACAATAATTTTAACCCTTTACACTTGTGGGAATTGACCTATATGGATAGGGCTTAATTGAATGTTCTTACAGAAGAAATATGGAAAGCATACGCATAACTATGGTAGCAATTAAAAGGGAACAGTTAGGAGATTATGGGAAAATTATTAGACTAAAGGTGATGACACAACAGTACACCTGACACATGACTGAATTCAAACATTATACTGATTGATTTTATGTGCATTTTACATTTGCTGTACTATTTGCCGCATTTGTTGATAACAAAATCGAAAAAATAATCTGGATACATTTAGTAACGTGATAAGAATAATCTTGGAAAATTTGGGGTAGGTGCAACATAAGACAAAACATTCTAAGGCTTTGAGTGAGAGGACTAACTGATGTCTCCAAGTGGCCACACACCTCTCCAAAATGTGCACAGTTCCTAAGTAATTTCAATGTACTTTTATGACTGAAAGAATAGTCTTCAACGATAAGGTGCTTTTTTGAGCTCTACTAGCTGTTCCGTTGAGGAACTAGCGCAAGCACACTAGCAGTTTTTTCTGTGGAAAACAGCCCTTCATCCCCTGATCACACAATTACTGATGTTTACGCGTTCCAAAAACGGTCCATTATAAATCGCATTCTGGGTCAGGTCGGCATCATTTGAAAGCTTGTGCTATTGCCAACATGACTAGCTAAATTATAAAATATTAGGCTTTCACAAGGCCATTCAGAGTAGACATGGTTATTTGAGTGGAGTACTCCTTTAACTCAACACATGCTGTAAGTTATTCTAACATCCGCATACAGCAAAAGGTTATGTCAGTTTATGATATAGCAGATCTGAATGCCACTCTACATTCCTAATTTTTTCCCTGTAATATATTTTCCACCTTTATAAACACGTTGTGTTTAACTCTGCCAGATATTGAAACCAAGACAGAGGTGAAGAAGATCATGCAACGTGTCAAAAGCAAACTTGATGATCTGCCTTCTACAAAACTCATTGACTTCCTCAGGTATGCATTTTTAAATGTGGAGAGAAAACACATGGAGAGAGACGCGTACAGGCCACCAAATTGCTTTAATTGTTTTCGTCTTTCATTTCTAACAGAGGTCAAATCCAAACGTTGGAGAAAGAAAAAAAAGAGATAGTGGGTGTTTTTGGGAGGACTGGAGCTGGTAAGAGCTTCTTGATTAACACCATCTTGGGTGAAACGAAATTGCTGCCCTCCGGAAACCAAGGGGCGTGCACCTCGGTCATGATTCAGGTGGAGGCCAATATGACAGACTCGGACTCAAAATACATCGCAGAGATTGAGTTCATGACAGAGGAGGTAACAGCATCTGTTTCATCTGCTTATACCCTAATCTCACAATGTTTTGGAAGTGGTGTCATGATGAACAGTACAATTAATGAAAGGCTTCTTTGAAACATATCAAGGTAACTAAATCTAAGATCTGAATCATGGTCTGTCATTGACCCAATTAACACCTTGCATTAATTTAAAAGAAGAAGCAATGATACAATATAGCCTAACATTGCTCGCAAACGTCACAGATTTGAGGGGGGTTTTCTTGTTAGATGCACTGGTCCTTTTAAATTTCAATTCCAGGTTGCACATAAAAATATTTAAGGGCATATCCGGTTTGCTCTGCCCATATAGTCATGCCAAGCATAAGGATGTCTTAATGAGGGGCTGAACTCACTGACTTAGCCTCGTATTTTCAACTGCTCATTGAGAAACCATGAGCGAGAGCTGTCTTGGGGGTGCAGTTGGATGTGGGTGTGGTATGTTCGCTATAGCCTATCGTTGTGTGTTCCTCTTTAGCCGCTGTAGTTGAACTATCCCAAACATACATCATACCAACCGCGTGATGCAGTATGACAACTTAAACATGATTGGTCAAGAATCCCAAGCGCTGAGCGAATTTCCTCCTTTCTATGGTATCTTTGATGACTGTTGTGTTTGTGATGCTAACGTTAGCTCACACATGTGAGGATGTTTGAAATAACGAGGAAGTCTCGTTCTTTCAACAAAACATTGACTACGATGTATGTCTAGTTCGTTGTCTCATGTAATGTCCATCAAATAAGTCCTGAGATTCTGTGTGCTAATGCCTCAATTGGTTAGCTTTGTGGTCTGTACAGAAAAGGGCGGGTGGTATGATGATTGATGCTACGATCGGGTCACTTGCAGCTGTGCTCCGAATCAATGATTATTTGGGTGCTGCCAGCCGTGGGCAGGGTTGAAATCTAAACCCAACCCAAGGAAAACTGTTACGCACCCTTGATTCCTTTCTCAAATCTCAGTTTTGGAAGATACTGACCTCATGAGGAGGTGAAGTCACCGGCGAAATGGCCGTGCGCTACACAGCGCTGAAGTTGCCTACCACCTGGTTTCACGTGGCAATGTTCATCTACAGACACATTTTGGGCGGGAAAGAGGGAGCGAGCACAGATTGTGCTAATCAACGGCATCTACACATGATGTGTGAATTGCAGGCAATTGCCACGCGCCATGTGTTAGATTTTAAATGTTTATATTTTAGTTATTTAGCAGACGCTCTTATCCAGAGTGACTTACATGAGCAATTAGGGTTAAGTGCCTTGCTCAAGGGCATATGGGCAGATTTCACCTAGTCAGTTCGGGGATTCGGACCAGCAACCTTTTGGTTACTGGCCCAACCTCTTAACTGCTAGGCTACCACCCAGCCCACTAGATAGAAGCAATCAGCCATTAGTCAAAAATATGACAAAAATTAAGAATACGACTGCTGAAGCAAGTCACATTAATCATCCTCTTCCAGAATAGAGGATACAGGGTGATAGTATGTTGCAGATAGTAAGCCAGCAGGGTTTGTGGAGCTGGTGATGAGAATGCATACATATGTGGTTGCCATATGTAGGGGTGTACATTTGTTAATAGGTAAACAAAGGAGTTTGCTCCTCTCCTCAATTGCTTCCTCCAGTGGAGTTATGATTAGGTGGAGTATGCTCAGGTGTATCCTACTTTTGAAATCCGATAGACGTCAGCCTCGGGATTCCATTTTTTTTGTTTACATCACCAAAAATCAAAACATATTGGACAATTACAGTCAGTTTTTAAATGTATGTTATCATATCGTGAGTATAAGACTGTTTGGTGGAATACTATGACTCTGTTAGTTTTGTGAATTAATGTTCAACCTTCACTTTAAGTGTTGGTGTGGGCAATCGGTGACGGCAGGAGATTGGCGTAACGCTGGACTGTAGCCTCTTGGGCCATGTGGCCATTCCCACATTTCTTGTGTGTAAATCTTTAGTTTTGGCATACCGCCTTTTGTTTCCTATTTGTATACTGGTCACCATTTGGGTGGCTAGGTGGTTTCATAACACAGGACTTAGCTTCAAATGAAGATTTAAGGAGAGAGTATGTATTACACATTTGTAATGGTTTAACATTTTCTATTAGGAATGGAAAGAGGAGCTGTGGTCCATCTTCAGAGACAGATCTTATGAGGATGGAAATGAAGACCAGGAAAGGGATGACGACGACGATGAAAAGATATCAGCTTTGTATGGAAAAGATGGACATGGGGCAACCTTAGAAGAACTAATGGACAGGAAGCACTTCAGAGAAATTCCAGAGTTCCGTTTATCAGTCAAGAAAATATTTCTATGTGACACAGTAAGTTACTGTCATGCTAGTTCACTTCTGTGAAGATAGTGTGCTTTGGTGAAAATCATTTGTTAAAAAATCATTTTAGGAAGGCAACCACATCTGATTGGAAATTATATTAAATCATGTATTTATTCCCTTACCAAAAAAACTGGCTTCTGGCAAACAGTTGTGGCAAACCTTTGTCCAATTTGGCGCAAATTTGCAGCAAGCTCATATTTTCACATGCAGATTAGTTTTGTGGTAAACTACTGCGGCAAACAATTCTGGGAAACTTGTGGCAAAATTCTACTGTTTGCTGCAAACACAGTATAAATATGCTAATTAGATTTTTGGTTACTGTGTGTTAACATTGAAATGTTTTACCTACGTAAACCAAATCACATTTTACTTTAAATTAAGTTGCTTCTCACAAAAAACTAAACATACTAAAATTACTAAATGCAATTTTTTAACAGATAAAAATAAATCCAATAAAACTTGAAGTCAGCATGCTAATGAAGATAAGAGCAAAGACCAGATATTTCGCAAATAAATTGTTTATTTAGTATTTTTATGTACAGTAGCTACACCATCTACAGTGCCTTCGGAAAGTATTCAGACCCCTTGACTTTTTCCAAAATTTTTTGCGTTACAGCATTATTATAACATTTATACAAAAAAATTGTTTTTTCCCCATCAATCTACACACGATTCCCTATAATGACAAAGGAATACATTTTTAAACATTTTTTGCAAATGTATTACAAATAAAAAACGGAAATATCACATTTACAAAAGTATTCAGACCCTTTACTCAGTACTTTGTTGAAGCACCTTTGTCAGCAATTACAGCATCGAGTCATCTTGGATATGACGCTACAAGCTCGGCACACCTGTATTTGGGGAGTTTCTCCCATTCTTCTCTGCAGATCCTCTCGAGCGCTGTCAGGTTGGATGGGGAGCGTTGCTGCACAGCTATTTTCAGATCTCTCCAGAGATGTTCATCCGGGCTCTTGCTGGGCCACTCAAGGACATCCAGAGACGTGTCTCGAAGCCATTCCTGCGTTGTCTTGGCTTTGTGCTTAGGGTCGTTGTCCTGTTGGAAGGTGAACCTTTGCCCCAGTCTGAGGTCCTGAGCGCTCTGGAGCAGGTTTTCATCAAAGATCTCTCTGTACTTTGCATTGTTCATCTTTGACTCGATCCTGACTAGTCTCCCAATCCCTGCCGCTGAAAAACATCCCCACAGAATGATGCTGCCACCACCTAGACACAATCCTGTCTCGGAGCTCTACGGACAATTCCTTTGACCTCATGGCTTGGTTTTTGCTCTGACATGCACTGTCAACTGTGGGACCTTATATAGACACGTGTGTGCCTTTCCAAATCTATAAAATAAATACCTTCTTTACATAAGTATTCAGACCTTTTGCTATGAGACTCGAGCTCAGGTGCATCCTGTTTCCATTGATAATCTTTGATGTTTCTACAACTTGATTGGAGTCCACCTGTGGTACATTCAATTGATTGGACATGATTTGGAAGCTCCGAGACAGGATTGTGTCAAGGCACAGATCTGGGGAAGGGTACCAACAAATATCTGCAGAATTGAAGGTCCCCAAGAACACAGTGGCCTCAATCATTCTTCAATGGAAGAAGTTTGGAACCACCAACTCTTCCAAGAGCTGGCCACCACGCCAAACTGAGCAATCGGGGGAGAAGGGCCTTGGCCTGGGAGGTGACCAAGAACCCGATGGTCACTCTGACAGAGATCCTTGATGAAAGGCTGGACTTGAACCCGATCAAACATCTCTGGAGAGACCTGAAAATATCTGTGCAGCGATGCTCCCAATCCAATCTGAAAGAGCTTTAGAGGATCGCAGAGAAGAATGGGAGAAACTCCCCAAATACAGGTGTGCCAAGCTTTTAGTTTCATACCAAAGAACACTCGAGGTTTTAATCGCGGCCAAAGGTGCTTCAACAAAGTACTCAATAAAGTACTCAATAAAGTGTCTGAATACTTATCTAAATGTAATATTTCCGTTTTTGTATTTTTATAAATTTGCATTATTTCTAAAAACCTTTTTTTGCTTTGTCATTAGGGTATTGTGTGTAGATTGATGAGGAAAAAAATAATGAATCCATTTTAGAATATGGCCGTAAAGTAACAAAATGTGGAAAAAGTCAAGGGTTCTGAATACTTTCCAAATGCACTGTATAAGGCTTGGCTTGAAGAAAAGCAACACATTTGAGTTATGCCTCATCATGTTATTTTTCAAAAATTAATTATTGTTAACTTCATATCAAAGCCATGCATGCAAGAAGCCTTGACCTGGTGCACACATTTCTCTGTCCTCAGTTTGATTGAATGCCTCAATCTGTCTATTTGTCTTGTAACTGATTGCTTCTAGAAAGAGAGAAGGAACAACACATGCTCAAGATGCGCTAGCTACTCGTTTAAAGCAATTACATTTACATTTTAGTCATTTAGCAGACGCTCTTATCCAGAGCGACTTACAGTTAGTGAGTGCATACATTTTTCATACTGCAGCAATGAAAGACTTCATTATTACAAAGAATGAATGTATGGGCTACATTTATGAGAATACATGCATTTGCTTACGTTATTGAGCTTGTCCCCAGCAAGAAAACCAAAAATGTCACTCAAACAGAAGGGGTAACTAACAAAGAGTCACTTTCCATCAACCAAAACAGGTAGGGTTTTAGGAGGGTTTCTGAAAGACACTCATGGGGGTGTCCACTGAAAGTTGACTAGCAACAACAACTGGAACCCAAAAGACACCCACCATGAGCGGCCCCTATATTTGCCAAAGAAGAGGCAATCAAAATAAAAAACCCAAACATAAAGACAGGAAGCAAACCAAAAAGGTGGAGCAAAACAAACAAATCAGGGAAATCAAACAAAGGAATATTTTTCTATAAATCAAATAGGAAGAGCCAACTAAAGGTGTTGACCCTACACATCTCTCAACTCAACTGGAACACTGGGCCAGCAACTATTAAATAGCACCTGGGCCAGCACAGCTGAAACATTTTCCCACTAAAGATATGGCAACCAGCACAGGTGTAACACATACTGACTAACGAGGTGACACCAATCAGTGCGCCTTACGCGCTGAAGTCCAACTTCAAAACATTAATGGAAAAACCAAAGCCTGTAACAAGCTTGAAGATGATACACTCATTTATCCCTCAACAAAAGTGTTATGAGTGAGTGCACCACAAACATCTTTCCAGGGTGTTGATGAATCCTCCTCCAACACCACATATAGGGGAAGGGTATCCATCTGCAAAAGTGAAGTCTTGCTTTGATATCAAGTCAGCTCATATTGTTGCTACCTTAGCTGTTGTGATAGGTAACATGCTAATGAACAGTGACACTATCATTTTGACATGCAAATTGGTATTAAAAGACAGCAACGTATTCACCTACAAATATGTGTTTAGGCATATCATTAGTTAGTTAGCTAGCTATCACATTAATTGTGAAAAAATATAATAGCCAACGTTTGCTAGCTAAGCGCTGGCCAGCTAGCTAAGCACTAGCCAGTCAGTGGCGCTGACAGTTTTTAAAACTGGTATCAACATAATGTGTTTCACTCTATCACATAAAACATGACATTGCTAACTAGGCATCAATTAGCTAACACAATTGTAAAGTTTATTAGGAAGTTTATGTTAAAGTTTATTAGGAGTTTAAGTAATAAGTTAGACACTCACCGGACAACTTTGGTAGGTAGCTAGCTAGATAGCATGATTTCCATTTTCCAACAGATTTTACTAATCCCCCTGATTGGTCGTCAATGGTTACTGGTCTTGGAACTCGTGTTCACCAGAAGCGGCTTCTAGTAAACTGTTTGCTGCTAGTGGGAATAAATATTATTGTGGCCAAAGGTTTGCCACAGACTCACCACTAGTGGCAAACATTTGCAAACTTCTGGCAACATTTTGAGGCACACTATTTAGTTTGCAGCAAATTTGCCACAAACTTGCTGGATGTTTGCCGCAACAAATTCACTTTTGAAAGTGATTGCAGGAAAAAATGGAACTACATCTTTTAGGCTATTTGATCTTTGTCAAAGTGTTATTTTGGAGAAAATAACGTTGTTTTTTCATCAATGCATGTAATGATGCTTTATTACAATTGCAGGCTGAAGAACTCTCTGAAAAGATAACTTGTTACACATGGAGTGACACACACAGTGATACATTTAAAAGACAGTATTGGCCGCTTGTGAAGTGTATAACCATCAAGGTGCCAAACTCCAAAGACCTGCTGGAGCATGTTGTGCTGGTTGATCTTCCAGGCAATGGAGACTGCAACAAGAGCAGAGATGAGATGTGGAAATCGGTAATTATTTACAATTCTTATTGATGATCCCATGTTCTGTTTAGAATTGTATTCATGCAACTTCTAATTTGGTTGGTGTTAGATCAACATCACAGGTACAGGGCCAAATGGCTGGCTATATCTATGTATTTTAGTTTATTTATATTTATCTACAATTGATTAAACATATTTTAAGTTCTAAGTTAATGTTACACTTCTTCAGTTTGTTGGAAACTGCTCTGCTGTGTGGATTGTGAGCGACATTGCAAGAACAACTTCAGAAAAGGAATCTTGGGAGATTTTAGACAGCACCGTGAGCCTGTTTGGACCTGGTGGAGAATGTCGAAGCATCAGTGTAATCTGCACCAAGACAGACGACATTGAGGAGAATCAAAAGGCTGATGCACGTACCTGTATTTTGTGCAGAAATGAAACAACCAAGAAGCAAGTGAGGGACAAATTCAACAAACATAAAGAAGTTAAGGTAAGTTACATCTGACATAAAGGAATCTTCTGTGACTTGTCAACATGCTCATACTGTATTTTGTAGTGGTGAAGATTTAGGAATTTCATGGAATTACATGAGAGCAAGACTACATTGAACACCAGAGCTTTTCAGACATTTTTGTTGTCTAATATACAAAACAAACAACTGCGTAATAAGTACATATTTTTATTCATAATAAGGTAAGACATTTATTCTAATTTGTCAGTCATATTCTTCAAAATGTATTTGATTATTTTAAATTAGTTGAAGCACAACAGCTTGCAATAGCACAATGAAAATAAAAATTTTGAGCTTGCAAAATGTCAGTGTGTGGACTTAATTGAATTGGCTGTCATTGTCTCATAAAAACCTTTCAGAAACACTTCAGTGGGGGAAAGGATTTCCTTCAGGTGTTTACTGTGAGTTCCAAGGAATACCAAAAGGAAAAGCATTTGCAACAAGAAGAGACAGGTACGATAACTGAACGTGTTTTTTGATTCTACGACATAGAGACAATTGTGTCCTGTATTTATATGCCTATGCTTTTTTTGGGGATTATTTGTGTGTATTATATTGTTGTAAACTGCTTTACATAGCAACAAACTTCACTTAAGCAGCATACCTATTTCAATATGACCTGTCTTATCTGGCAAATTTAAACATGCAATATGTCCTAGTCAAGAACAACTCCAAGTGTAACCTGGACCATATTATAGTCAATAATGCAGGTTCATGTTTTCTATCAAATATTGTGGGTAATGTGTATACATACAGCATGCTAAGCTATTCTCATAGCATCGAAGAACACTGACACCAACCAAATGTAGAAATAAATCTCTTGTTTTTAACTTATGTTTCAGAAATACCTAAACTTCAGGAATTTCTCAGAAATCTCAACGATCGTCGCACAAAGACTTCAGATTATGTTTCTGGAGCCTATGGGATACTCTCTCTGATACAAGCAGCAAAAAGCAGCAACATGGTATTGTACTTTCAGCAGAACAATAGTATTTATCTCAGTTAACATACCCCTAACATGTGAATCAGTGTATTATATTGAGTTTGGATTTCAGACAGACAGCAAAGAAGAGGTGTGCCAGGTTCTGGAACAGAGGCTCAAGGAGGAGATCAAGTCCATTGGTCAAACTATGGATGAGGCTTATGAGACTTTTGAACGATGCCTCTCAGAAGGAGTTCAACAGTCTGAAGAATCATGCGAGCAATTAATGAACAAAGTGATAGCACCAGTAAGCTATTTTTAAAAAACTTTTTAAGAATAGCCGCTTTTGCACTGTCACCCTACACTGAGTATACCAAACATTAGGAACACCTTTCTAATATTGAGTTGCACCCTGCCTCTTTTGCCCTCAGAACAGCCTCAATTTATCGGGGCATGGACTCTACAAGGTGTCGAAAGCATTTCACAGGGATGCTGGCCCATGTTGACTCCAATGCTTCCCACAGTTTGCTTGATGAAAAACCCAACAGCGTTGCAGTTTTTGACACAAACCGATGCGCCTGGCACCTACAGTGGGGGAAAAAAGTATTTAGTCAGCCACCAATTGTGCAAGTTCTCCCACTTAAAAAGATGAGAGAGGCCTGTAATTTTCATCATAGGTACACGTCAACTATGACAGACAAATTGAGAAAAGAAAATCCAGAAAATCACATTGTAGGATTTTTTATGAATTTATTTGCAAATTATGGTGAAAAATAAGTATTTGGTCAATAACAAAAGTTTCTCAATACTTTGTTATATACCCTTTGTTGGCAATGACACAGTTCAAATGTTTTCTGTAAGTCTTCACAAGGTTTTCACACACTGTTGCTGGTATTTTGGCCCATTCCTCCATGCAGATCTCCTCTAGAGCAGTGATGTTTTGGGGCTGTCGCTGGGCAACACGGACTTTCAACTCCCTCCAAAGATTTTCTATGGGGTTGAGATCTGGAGACTGGCTAGGCCACTCCAGGACCTTGAAATGCTTCTTAAGAAGCCACTCCTTCGTTGCCCGGGCGGTGTGTTTGGGATCATTGTCATGCTGAAAGACCCAGCCACGTTTCATCTTCAATGCCCTTGCTGATTGAAGGAGGTTTTCACTCAAAATCTCATGATACATGGCCCCATTCATTCTTTCCTTTACACGGATCAGTCGTCCTGGTCCCTTTGCAGAAAAACAGCCTCAAAGCATGATGTTTCCACCCCCATGCTTCACAGTAGGTATGGTGTTCTTTGGATGCAACTCAGCATTCTTTGTCCTCCAAACACGACGAGTTGAGTTTTTACCAAAAAGTTCTATTTTGGTTTCATCTGACCATATGACATTCTCCCAATCCTCTTCTGGATCATCCAAATGCACTCTAGCAAACTTCAGACGGGCCTGGACATGTACTGGCTTAAGCAGAGGGACACGTCTGGCACTGCAGGATTTGAGTCCCTGGCGGCGTAGTGTGTTACTGATGGTAGGCTTTGTTACTTTGGTCCCAGCTCTCTGCAGGTCATTCACTAGGTCCCCCCGTGTGGTTCTGGGATTTTTGCTCACCGTTCTTGTGATCATTTTGACCCCACAGGGTGAGATCTTGCGTGGAGCCCCAGATCGAGGGAGATTATCAGTGGTCTTGTATGTCTTCCATTTCCTAATAATTGCTCCCACAGTTGATTTCTTCAAACCAAGCTGCTTACCTATTGCAGATTCAGTCTTCCCAGCCTGGTATAGGTCTACAATTTTGTTTCTGGTGTCCTTTGACAGCTCTTTGGTCTTGGCCATAATGGAGTTTGGAGTGTGACTGTTTGAGGTTGTGGACAGGTGTCTTTTATAGGTGTCAGTTCAAACAGGTGCCATTAATACAGGTAACGAGTGGAGGACAGAGGAGCCTCTTAAAGAAGTTGTTACAGGTCTGTGAGAGCCAGAAATCTTGCTTGTTTGTAGGTGACCAAATACTTATTTTCCACCATAATTTGCAAATAAATTCATTAAAAATCCTACAATGTGATTTTCTGGATTTCTTTTCTCAATTTATCTGTCATAGTTGACTTGTACCTATGGTGAAAATTACAGGCCTCTCATCTTTTTAAGTGGGAGAACATGCACAATTGGTGGCTGACTAAATACTTTTTTCCCCCACTGTATAACCATACCCTGTTCAAAGGCACTTAATTGTTTGTCTTACCCATTCACCCTTTGACTGGCACACAGAATCCATGTCTCAATTGTCTCAAGGCTTAACAATCCTTCTTTAACCTGTCTCCTCCCCTTCATCTACATTGATTGAAGTGGATTTAACAAGTGAGATCAATAAGGGATGATAGCTTTTAGGTGGATTCACCTGGTCTGTCTGTCATGGAAAGAGCAGGTGTTCTTAATGTTTTGTATAATCAGTGTATATCCGTGTTAGCCAGTTTGTGCTAGCGCCAGAGAAGCTGAAAATCAAGAGACTCAACCAGGACCCCAAAAGCGATGTGATTATTTATTGTAACTCAGGTTTGCGTGAGATAGATTCAGAAAAGTAAATGGGAGAATAATCTTTCATAGACAGACGCACGTGTGGGATGAGACGACTAACGGGGAACTTTGTTCCGGTAAGCAGAGTTTTTGTCATTGATCATTTGGACAAATCATGATTTCGCAGGTGTTCTCATCTTTCGAATTTCGGAAGAGGAGGGTACATTTGGCCATATACTTGCCAGTCACTTGCATAAAAGGGGTGTGGAGCTACCATCCTGCTTCCGCTCCTCGTTCTAGTATCTTGTGGAACACGTCTGCCCCCAGAATTTAATCAAGCATTGGACAGAACTATGCAAGGTTTCCAAAATTTCTTAATTTAATGGGAGAGGGATATTTACCATCAAGCAAATGCAACAAATATATATTCAGCAAAACATGGACCTCTACTGCATGTTTATCAACCTCACCAATACTTTTGACACTGTAAACAGGGAGGGGTTATGGAAGACCTTCTGTGGTGGTGATATATATATATATATATACACAGTGGGGAGAACAAGTATTTGATACACTGCCGACTTTGCAGGTTTTCCTGCTTACAAAGCATGTAGAGGTCTGTAATTTTTATCATAGGTACACTTCAACTGTGAGAGACGGAATCTAAAACAAAAATCCAGAAAATCACATTGTATGATTTTTAAATAATTAATTTGGACCTTGAGATGCTTCTTACGGAGCCACTCCTTAGTTGCCCTGGCTGTGTGTTTCGGGTCGTTGTCATGCTGGAAGACCCAGCCACGACCCATCTTCAATGCTCTTACTGAGGGAAGGAGCTTGTTGGCCAAGATCTCGCGATACATGGCCCCATCCATCCTCCCCTCAATACGGTGCAGTCGTCCTGTCCGCTTTGCAGAAAAAAATCCCCAAAGAATGATGTTTCCACCTCCATGCTTCACTGTTGGGATGGTGTTCTTGGGGTTGTACTCATCCTTCTTCTTCCTCCAAACAAGACGAGTGGAGTTTAGACCAAAAAACTCAATTTTTGTCTCATCAGACCACATGACCTTCTCCCATTCCTCATCTGGATCATCCAGATGGTCATTGGCAAACTTCAGACGGGCCTGGACATGCGCTGGCTTGAGCAGGGGGACCTTGCGTGCGCTGCAGGATTTTAATCCATGACAGCGTAGTGTGTTACTAATGGTTTTCTTTGAGACTGTGGTCCCAGCTGTCTTCAGGTCATTGACCAGGTCCTGCCGTGTAGTTCTGGGCTGATCCCTCACCTTCCTCATGATCATTGATGCCCCACGAGGTGAGAACTTGCATGGAGCCCCAGACCGAGGGTGATTGACCGTCATCTTGAACTTCTTCAATTTTCTAACAATTGCGCCAACAGTTGTTGCCTTCTCACCAAGCTGCTTGCCTATTGTCCTGTAGCCCATCCCAGGCTTGTGCAGGTCTACAATTTTATCCCTGATGTCCTTACACAGCTCTCTGGTCTTGGCCATTGTGGAGAGGTTGGAGTCTGTTTGATTGAGTGTGTGGACAGGTGTCTTTTAAACAGGTAACGAGTTCAAACAGGTGCAGTTAATACAGGTAATGAGTGCAGAACAGCAGGGCTTCTTAAAGAAAAACTAACAGGTCTGTGAGAGACGGAATTCTTACTGGTTGGTAGGTGATCAAATACTTATGTCATGCAATAAAATGCACATTAATTACTTAGAAATCATACAATGTGATTTTCTGGATTTTTGTTTTAGTCTCTCACTGTTAAAGTGTACCTATGATACAAATTACAGACCTCTACATGCTTTGTAAGTAGGAAAACCTGCAAAATCGGCAGTGTATCAAATACTTGTTCTCCCCACTGTACATGAAGTTATGATGTACCAAGTCTCTCGATTTTCAAATTTCTCCAGCGATAGCACGCATTGGTTCGCACAAATACAGTTGAAGTCGGAAGTTTACATAAACTTAGGTTGGAGTCATTAAAACTAGTTTTTCAACCACTCCACAAATTTCTTGTTAACAAACTATAGTTTTGGCAAGTTGGTTAGGACATCTACGTTGTGCATGACACAAGTAATTTTTCCAACAATTGTTTACAGACAGATTATTTCACCTATAATTCACTGTATCACAACTCCAGTGGGTCAGAAGTTTACATACACGAAGTTGACTGTGCCTTTAAACAGCTTGGAAAATTCCAGAAAATGATGTCATGGCTTTAGAAGCTTCTGAAAGGCTAATTGACATCACTTGAGTCAATTGGAGGTGTACCTGTGGATGTATTTCAAGGCCTACCTTCGAACTCGGTGCCTCCACAAGTCTGGTTCATCCTTGGGAGCAATATCCAAATGCCTGAAGGTACCACGTTCATCTGTACAAACAATAGTATGCAATTATACACACCATGGAACCACGCAGCCATCACACCGCTCAGGAAGGAGACGCGTTCTATCTGAATGAACGTACTTTGGTGCGAAAAGTGCAAATCCCAGAACAACAGCAAAGGACCTTGTGAAGATGCTGGAGGAAACCGGTACAAAATTATCTATATCCACAGTAAAACGAGTCCTATATCGACATAACCTGAAAGGCCGGTCAACAAGGAAGAAGCCACTGCTCCAAAACCACCATAAAAAAGCCAGACTACTTTGCAACTGCACATGTGGACAGAGATCGTACTTTTTGGAGAAATGTCCTCTGGTCTGATGACACAAAAATAGAACTGTTTGGCCATAATGACCATCGTTATTTTTGGAGGAAAAGGGGGGACTTGCAAGCTGAAGAACACCTTCCCAACCGTGGTCCTCTGTAGCTCAGCTGGTAGAGCACGGCGCTTGTAACGCCAAGGTAGTAGGTTCGATCCCCGGGACCACCCATACACAAAAATGTATGCACGCATGACTGTAAGTCGCTTTGGATAAAAGCGTATGCTAAATGGCATATTATATTATTATTATATTAAGCATGGGGGTGGCAGCATCATGCTGTGGGGGGGCTTTGCTGCAGAAGGGACTGGTGCACTTCATAAAATAGATGGCATCATGAGGAAGGAAAATTATGTGGATATATTGAAGCAAGACATCAGTCAGGAAGTTAAAGCTTGGTCGCAAATGGGTCTTCCAAATGGACAATGACCCCAAGCATACTTCCAAAGTTGTGGCAAAATTGCTTAAAGACAACAAAGTCAAGGTATTTGTCACGATCGTCTATGAAGTAGGACCAAAGCGCAGCGTTGGTAGCGAACATATTTATTATTTAAACGTACACACGAACAAAACAACGAAAACGTGACGTCTATGGTACAACATGAAACCACACGAACAAAATCCCACCAACACAAGGTGAACACAGACAGTTTAAATATGGCTCCCAATCAGAGATAACGAGCCGACAGCTGACACTCGTTACCTCCGATTGGGAGTCATTGACCAAATAAGGGAAACACAAAACCAATGACCACCCAACCAAAACAAAACACAACCAAAACGAACACACCCTGGCTCAAAATACAAAGTCCCGGAGCCAGAGCGTGACAGTACCCCCCCCTAAAGGCGCGGACTGCGACCGCGCCTCAAAACCCCAAATAGGGGAGGGCTGGGTGGGTGTTGCTCCTCGGAGGCGGCTCCGGCTCCAGGCTTGACCACCACCCTACTTCAATCCCCGCATAATGGCCCCGATCCGATCTGACCCAGCTGGCTGGATCAGGACTGACGACGCGCACCCCTGGCTTAGCGCGTGAGGCAGGAACGGACCGGACCTGGCTGACGATACGCACCCTAGGCTTGGTGTGTAGAGCCGGAACGGACCTCACCAGGCTGACGACTCGCATCCCTGGCTTGGTGCGAGTAGCAGGAATGGGCTGGACCGGGCTGACGACTCGCACCCTTGGCTTGGTGCGAGTAGCAGGAACAGGCCGGACCAGGCTGACGACTCGCACCCTTGGCTTGGTGCGAGTAGCAGGAACGGGCTGGACCAGGCTGACGACTCGCACCCTTGTCTTGGTGCGAGTAGCAGGAACGGGCTGGGCTGGGCTGGCGACGCACACCGTAGGCTCTGTGCGTGGAGCAGGAACATGCCGGGCCGGTCCGGCGACGCACACCGTAGGTTTCGTGCGTGGAGCAGGAACAGGCCGGGCCGGGCTGGCGACGCACACCGTAGGTTTTGTGCTTGGAGCAGGAACAGGCCGGGCTGGGCTGGCGACGCGCACCACAGACTCGGTGCAGAGCGCAGGAACGGGCCGGGCTGGGCTGTCGACGCACACCGTAGGTTTGGTGCGGGGAGCAGGAATAGACCGGACCGTACTGGGGACACACACCAGTGGCTCTACACCGGGATCTGGAACGGGCCGGACCGGACTGGCAACACCCGCCAGTACCTCTCGCCGTGCCTCTACTCCTTCCATCCCCTCTTCTACCAGTGGCCCCCGTAACCTGGCGGCCTCCTCTGCAACCCCGCTGGACCGCTCCATAGCGGCCTCCTGCTGCCCCGATGTCGTGAGCCCCCCCCTAAAAATTTTCTGGGGGTCTCTCCAGGCCTCCAACATTCTCTCCCACCTCTCGCTCCTCTGTCTCCAACCCTCCTCACTCAACTCCTCAATGGGCTTGATCCAGTCGAAGCTGCCACGGAGATCATTTGGCGATGGCCCTTGGACACGCTGCTTGGTCTGGTCTTGGTGGGATTTTCTGTCACGATCGTCTATGAAGTAGGACCAAAGCGCAGCGTTGGTAGCGCACATATTTATTATTTAAACGTACACACGAACAAAACAACGAAAACGTGACGTCTATGGTACAACATGAAACCACACTAACAAAATCCCACCAACACAAGGTGAACACAGACAGTTTAAATATGGCTCCCAATCAGAGATAACGAGCCGACAGCTGACACTCGTTACCTCCGATTGGGAGTCATTTGACCAAACACAACCAATGACAAACCAACCAAACAAAACACAACCAAAACGAACACACCCTGGCTCAAAATACAAAGTCCCGGAGCCAGAGCGTGACAGTATTGGAGTGGCCATCACAAAGCCCTGACCTCAATCCCATTGAACATTTGTGGGCAGAACTGAAAAAGTGTGTGCGAGCAAGGAGGCCTACAAACCTGACTCAGTTACACCAGCTCTGTCAGGAGGAATGGGCCAAAATTCACCCAACTTATTGTGGGAAGCTTGTGAAAGGCTACCCAAAACGTTTGACCCAAGTTAAACAATTGAAAGGCAATGCTACCAAATACTAATTGAGTGTATGTAAACTTCTGACCCACTGGGAATGTGATGAAATAAATAAAATATGAAATAAATAATTCTCTCTACTATTATTCTGACATTTCACATTCTTAAAATAAAGTGGTGATCCTAACTGACCTAAGACAGGGACTTTTTACTAGGATTAAATGTCAGGAATTGTGAAAAACTGAGTTTAAATGTATTTGGCTAAGGTGTATGTAAACTTCCGACTTCAACTGTATACCGTAGGCTCGCACGATACTGGAAAAGCAGCTATTGAAGACATACTCATGCATGAGCTTCAATTCCATACAACACTCCTTCAGTAGCCTCCAACTGCTCTTAAACACTAGTAAAACAAAATGCATGCTCTTCAACCGAACGCTGCTTGCACCCGCCCACCCGACTAGAATCACTACTCTAGACGGGTCTGACCTAGAGTACGTGGACAACTACAAATATCTAGGTGTCTGGTTAGACTGTAAACTCTCCTTCCAGACTCACATTAAGAATCTCCAATCCAAAGTTAAATCTAGAATCGGTTTCCTATTTCGCAACAAAGCCTCCTTCACTCATGCTGCCAAACATGCCCTCGTAAAACTGACTATCCTACCGATCCTTGACTTCGGCGATGTCATTTACAAAATGGCCTCCAACACTCTACTCAGCAAATTGGATGTTGTCTATCACAGTGCCATCCGTTTTGTCTCCAAAGCCCCATATAATACCCACCACTGTGACCTGTACGCTCTTGTTGGCTGGTCCTCACTACATATTCGTCGCCAAACCCACTGGCTCCAGGCCATCTATAAATCACTGCTAGGCAAATCCCCGCCTTATCTTAGCTCATTGGTCACCATAGCAACACCCACCCGTAGTCTGCGCTCCAGCGGGTATATCTCACTGGTCATCCCCAAAGCCAACACCTCCTTTGGCCGCAATTCCTTCCAGTTCTCTGCTGCCAATGACTGGAACAAATTGCAAAAATCTCTGAAGCTGGAGACACTTATCTCCCTCACTAACTTTAAGCATCAGTTGTCAGAGCACCTTACCGATCACTGCACCTGTACACAGCCCATCTGAAATTAGCCCGCCCAACTACCTCATCCCTATATTGTTATTTATTTTGCTCATCTGTACCCCAGTATCTCTATTTGCACATCATCTCTTGCACATCATTCCAGTGTTAATACTAAATTGTAATTATTTTGCACCATAGCCTATTTTAATTGCCTTACCTCCATAACTTGCTAAATTTGCACACTGTATATTAATTGTATTTCTGTTGTATTTTTTGATTTTTGTTTTGTTTTACCCCATATGTAACTCTGTGTTGTTGTTTTTATCGCACTGCTTTGCTTTATCTTGGCCAGGTCGCAGTTGTAAATGAGAACTTGTTCTCAACTGGTTTACCTGGTTAAATAAAGGTGAAATAAAATAAAATAAAAAAATGACAGATTTCCAATGCTGTGCTGTTGAAAATGTCTAACATATTTTCTTTTTTTTTCCCCAGAGAGGGAAAAAAGGCAGTGGACATCATAAAGTAGTGAAGACCTTATGCAATAATGGCGGCGTTTATAAACCAAAAGGGAAAAAGGAAATAAACCTTAATGAGAGTTTAGCCTCATGTATGAGAAGTCTCATTGATGAAGAGTTTAAGAGATATTTCCCGTAAGTAATATAATCATTATCTAAATATATATGTGCATTTGGAAAGTATTGACTTTTTCCAGTCAAGTCTTTTTTTCCCTTATCAATCTACACACAATACACCATAATGACAAAGTGAAAACAGGTTTTTTAGAAATAAATAAAACATGTAAAACATCAATACCTTATTAACCTAACTATTCAGACCCTTTGCTATGAGACTCGAAATTGAGCACAGGTGCATCCTGTTTCCATTGATCATTCTTGAGATGTTCCGAGATAGGAATGTGTGGTCTGATGAAAACAAGATTGAACACTTTGGCCTGAATGCCAAGCGTCACGTCTGGAGGAAACCTACGGTGAAGCATGGTGGTCGAAAAATCATGCTTTGGGGATGTTTTTCAGCGGTAGGGACCGGGAGACTAGTCAGGATCGAGGGAAAGATGAACGGAGCAAAGTACAGAGAGATCCTTGATGAAAACCTGCTCCAGAGCGCTCAGGACCTCAGACTGGGGCGAAGGTTCACCTTCCAACATGTCAACGACTCTAAGCACATCGGCAAGACAACACAGGAGTGGCTTCAGGACAAGTCTCTGAATGCCCTTGAGTGGCCCAGCCAGAGCCCGGACTTGAACCCGATCTAACATCTCTGGAGAGACCTGAAAATAGCTGTGCAGCGACTCTCCCCATTCAACCAGACATTGCTTGAGAGGATCTACAGAGAAACACTATGCACCTGAGCTCAATTTTGAGTCTCATAGCAAAGGTTCTGAATACTTATATAAATATGGTATTTGTTTTTTATTTTTAATACATTTGCAAACATTTCTAAAAACCTGTTTTCGCTTTGTCATTATGGAATAATGTGTATAAAAATGATTTTAGAATAAAATGTGGAAAAAGTCAAGGGGGCTGAATACTTTCCAAATGCACCGTATACAATTTTCTAGCTCTGAATCTCTACTTGTATCCAATGTAAAAAAACACAATTTCAAATTTTGCTACATAAGACCGAATCGAGGCGGTGAGTCACAAATCGTGGAAATGTTTTTATATATTTCTGGTGTTCATTTAAGGTCATTTAATGTCTAAAAACCTGTTTGCTCGTTATCATTATGAGGTATTCTGTGTAGATTGAAGATTAATTGTTTTTATTTAATCAATTTTAGAATAAGGCTGTAACGTAACAAAATGTGGAAAAAGTCAAGGGGTCTGAATACTTTCCGATTGCACTGTATATAATACACATGGAATGATAAGGGCCTTGACTCAAATCTAGTAACCATCTTTCTGATTTGGCCGTTTGTGTTTCAGAAACGAGGGCAAACGTGGGCCAATCAAGGAGCGGATTGATACATTCACCCTTGACACCAACAGCTTGGTTGGGGAGCACCCGGAAGTGTCACTGCATCTGACATTCCTCAAGACGGAGGTAAGGTTTAAAAACAAATCAGTATTGAGGCCGATACGTAAAGCTTAATTAACAACAATGATACTAGCAAGAGCATTGTTCGGGTTTCTCTTGTCTTTCCCGAGTGGCGCAGTGGTCTAAGGCACTGCATCGCAGTGCTAGCTGTGCCACTAGAGATCCTGGTTCGAATCCAGGCTCTGCTGTTGCTGGCTGCAACCGGGAGACAATGGGGCGGCGCACAATTGGCCCAGCGTCGTCCAGGGTAGGGGAGGGAATGGCCGGCAGGGAGGTAGCTCAGTTGGTAGAGCATGGCGTTTGCAACGCCAGGGTTGTGGGTTCGATTCCCACGGGGGGCCAGTATGAAAAAAAGAAAAAAAACTAAAGAATAATGTATGCACTAACTGTAAGTCGCTCTGGATAAGAGCGTCTGCTAAATGACGTAAATGTAAATGTTATTCAATTGTTACCATGCACCTGCAACAAAGATACAGTGCCTTGCAAAAGTATTCATCCCCCTTGGATTTTGTTGCATTACAACCTGTAATTTAAATTTATTTTTATTAGTCTAAATTGGTGAGTGAAATGAAGAAAATAACTTGTTTCAAAAAAGTATAAAAAATATACAACAGAAAAGTGGTGCGTGCATATGTATTCACTCCCTTTGCTATGAAGCCCTTAAATAAGATCTGGTGAAACCAATTAACTTCAGAAGTCACATAATTAGTTAAATAAAGTCCACCTGTGTGCAATCTCAGTGTATATATATACACCTGTTCTAAAAGGCCCCAGAGTCTGCAACACCACTAAGCAAGGGGCACCACCAAGGAAGTGGCACCATGAAGACCAAGGAGCTCTCCAAACAGGTCAGGGACAAAGTTGTGGAGAAGTACAGATCAGGGTTGGGTTATAAAAAATATCAGACACTTTGACCATCCCACGGAGCACCATTAAATCCATTATTAAAAAATGTAAAGAATATGGCACCACAACAAACCTGCCAAGAGAGGGCCGCCCACCAAAACTCACAGACCAGGCAAGGAGGGCATTAATCAGAGGCAACAAAGAGACCAAAGATAACCCTGAAGGGCTGCAAAGCTCCACAGCGGAGATTGGAGTATCTGTCCATAGGACCACTTTAAGCCGCACACTCCACAGAGCTGGGCTTTACAGAAGAGTGGCAAGGAAAAAGCCATTGCTTAAAGAAGAAAATAAGCAAACACGTTTGGTGTTCGCCAAAAGGTATGTGGGAGACTCCCCAAACATATGGAAGAAGGTACTCTGGTCAGATGAGACTAAAATTGGGCAAACCCAACACCTCTCATCACCCCGAGAACATAATCCCCACAGTGATCCCCACAGTGAAGCATGGTGGTGGCAGCATCATGCTGTTGGGATGTTTTTCATCGGCAGGGACTGGGAAACTGGTCAGAATTGAAAGCGTTATGGATGAAGCTAAATACAGGGAAATTCTTGAGGGAAACCTGTTTCAGTCTTCCAGAGATTTGAGACTGGGACGGAGGTTCACCTTCCAGCAGGACAATGACCCTAAGCATACTGCTAAAGCAACACTAGAGTGGTTTAAGGGGAAACATTTAAATGTCTTGGAATGGCCTAGTCAAAGCCCAGACCTCAATCCAATTGAGAATCTGTGGTATGACTTAAAGATTGCTGTACACCAGCGGAACTCATCCAACTTGAAGGAGCTGGAGCAGTTTTGCCTTGAAGAATGGGCAAAAATCCCAGTGGCTAGATGTGCCAAGTTTATAGAGACCCCAAGAGACTTGCAGCTGTAATTGCTGCAAAAGGTGGCTCTACAAATTATTGACTTTGGTAATATTTGAAGATTTTGCATCTTCAAAGTGGTAGGCATGTTGTGTAAATCAAATGATACAAACCACCCCAAAATCCATTTTAATTCCAGGTTGTTAGGCAACAAAATAGGAAAAATGCCAAGGGAGGTTGAATACTTTCGCAAGCCACTGTAGAAGATGGCTCAGATGTGCGAGTGCCTTTTTGAAACTAAATCAGGAAATGCAACATTGAAATATTAAGGAAACCACTTAATTAGTTTCTATCTGAAAGGAAACTGAGTTGAAGGCAAAACTAATCTGTGACCTCCGCGAGAAAAAGAAAATAATCTACTCCACTCTATCCGAGTCAATCAAGGACACCATGCATCGATGCTATATAAGTAAGTCTTAAAATGAAAATGTTTTAGCTGAGTTAAAGTGTTGTGGCCTAGTTATGAAAATTATAATGATATTTGGGAAGTAACAAGTTTTCAAACATATTTAGAATGTATTAATAGCAGATGAAGTCATACAATGGTTTTGGAAACAATATGATGACTGTGTTTTAGGGGCATCAGAGTATACAGGAAAAGATTCTCTAAAAAGGATGAAAGATGAGCTACACTATCACATGAAGAATAACAACATTTTCCAGAAGGCCAAGGAAGATATGCTGGTTCGTTTAACCAACCTGAAGGTTTGAAACATTGTACAGTAGAGTTAGAGTTCGAAAAATGCATTTAAGTGACACTCAACAATGATACAATAATACAAAATACTGATATAAAAGTATAATAACACATTGTGGACCACTGGAATTGAGTTTCGACGCACTAAAAACAATCATGGTCAAACATGGTACAGGCTTAATCTATAATACTATAATTACATCATCTATACAGATGGATGCATAAAAACAAATAATAAAAGAGTAAAGATTTACTTGGACTACATATCGATAATGCATTTATTACAGATCTATAAGCATTTCACAAACTTGTTATCACAGGTCCCAACCGCATCAATAAAGATTAATGAAATATATTAATATCATATATATATAGCACATTCGTGTCATACTATGCAAAAGCTGATATTTAGGTACAGTATCTTAATAAAAGCAACATTACAATGACAGCCTAGTGTCATCATTATGGCTGTTCTCAAACGTGTGCTTCTGCCATACCAGTGTTAGAGACCACGTATTGAAAATGATGCTGATATGTAGCATGTACCAGCCCCATTTCTCCCAACGGCCGCTATAGCCATTACTTACCTTCTTCTTCCTCTCACTGAGGTCAATGGTGCATGAAGATCCCAACAGGGTTGAATCCCTAGGGTACATTTTATGGATCAAATTGTGTAGTTGAGGGTCATAACATAACTCATTAACAGGCCTCCACATCACAATGAAGTTGGTCATACTGTTCTATAACGCACACATTAAGGGTCTATGTATGCAGTCAAAGTAAAGTAAAATCTATTTTCCCATTCATAAAGCATTTATAGCTAAGCATTTCATGGTAATTAACTCTGCAGTTTGCCACTCAGATCTATAATACCAACAATAAAAATCTGTGTATGAATTTTATGCAGTTAATGTACAGTCATATCTATTTTCTCATGCATAAAGCATTTATAAATATGCCTTATCAAAAAGAATACAGACAGATTCCGGGTGACGGCCTAGATTCAAAACATACGATCTTCAAAGGTCGTCACTATTTTCCACAAAGTCATAAACCCGCCTATTTTCTACCATTTATCTTCTTAAAATCTGATTTTAAACCTAACCCTAACTTCAACCCTAACCTCAATCACACTGCTTAGCTTATGCCTAACCCTAACGTTAAATGAACACCACAAATACAGTACCAGTCAACAGTTTGGACACACCTACTCATTCAAGGGTTTTTCTTTATTTTTACAATTTCCTACATTGTAGAATAATAGTGAAGACATCAAAACTATGAAATAACACATGAAATCATGTAGTAACCAAAAAAGTGATAACCAAATCAAAATATATTTTTGATTTTACATTCTTCAAAGTAGCCACCCTTTGCCTTGATGACAGCTTTGCAAACTCTTGGCATTCTCTCAACCAGCTTCACCTGGAATGCTTTTCCAACAGTCTTGAAGGAGTTCCCACATATGCTGAGCACTTGTTGGCTGCTTTTCCTTCACTCTGCGGTCCAACTCATCCCAAACCATCTCAATTGGGTTGAGGTCGGGTGATTGTGGAGGCCAGGTCATCTGATGCAGCACTCCATCACTCTCCTTCTTGGTCAAATAGCCCTTACACAGCCTGGAGGTGTGTTGGGTCTTTGTCCTGTTAAAAAACAAATGATAGTCCCACTAAGAACAAACCAGATGGGATGGCGTATCGCTGCAGAATGCTGTGGTAACCATTCTGGTTAAGTTTGCCTTGAATTCTAAATAAATCACTGACAGTGTCACCAGCAAATTACCCCCACACCATCACACCTCCTCCTCCATGCTTCACGGTGGGAACCACACATGCAGAGATCATTTGTTCAGCTACTCTGAATCTCACAAAGATGGCGGTTGGAACCAAAAATCTCAAATTTGGACTCATCAGACCAAAGGACAGATTTCCACTGGTCTAATGTCCATTGCTCGTGTTTCTTAGCCCAAGCAAATCTCTTCTTCTTATTGGTGTCCTTTTATTAGTGGTTTCTTTGCAGCAATTTGACCATGAAGGCCTGATTAACACAGTCTCCTCTGAACAGTTGATGTTGAGATGTGTCTGTTACTTGAACTCTGAAGCATTTATTTGGGCTGCAATTTCTGAAGCTGGTAACTCTAATGAACTTATCCTCTGCAGCAGATGTAACTATGCTTATTTGAGCTGTTCTTGCCATAATATTGACTTGGTCTTTTACCAAATATGGCTATCTTCTGTATTCCCCCCCTACCTTGTCATAACACAACTGATTGGCTCAAACGCAATTCCACAAATTAACTTTTAAAAAGGCACACCTGTTAATTGAAATGCATTCCAGGTGACTACCTCATGAAGCTGTTTGAGAGAATGCCAACAGTGTGCAAAGCTGTCATCAAGGCAAAGGGTGGCTACTTTGAAGAATGTGAAATTATGTTTAACACTTTTTTGGTTACTACATGTGTTATTTCATAGTTTTAATGTCTTCACTATTATTCTACAATGTAGAAAATTGTAAAAATTAAGAAAAACCCTGGAATGTGTAGGTGTGACTAAACTTTTGACTGGTACTGTATATAAAAATATGAAATTCTACAAGATGTGACTCACCGCCTTGATTCGGTCTTACCGAGCAACATTTGAAATTGTGTTTTTTACATTGGATAGAAGTAGAGACTCAGAGCTAGAAAATTGTATGTCACACACTGTAGTTGAGGAACAATGGGAAAGTATCAACTTTCAAAGCAGAATTAATGGCCTTTGAATGTTTTGGTGCGCCTACTGGAGAGCTCAACTCTACTTTGTCAACACCCATTCAGCATCGTTCACACCCTCTTAAGCCTTAGCCCCACCCATCTCTTTAAGGATTCACATGTGAGGCCATGTGCTAAACATAGTGAGTAGTGTAGTCAACAACCAAAGATTAAAACTAAATGTTGTGAAAGTAGTAGAAAAAAGTAGTTGTAAAAATATCCTGTATCCTAATCTGACTTTGGTGCAGGTCATGTTCTTCACATTACCGTCTCTTGTAAACACTACTATATCAAAAGTGTAAAATCAAAGTGTATTTTTCACATGCACAGGATACAGAAGGTGTAAACGGTACAGTAAAATGGTTACTTGTGTAACAGTGTTGCTTCCATCCCTCTCCTCGTCCCAAACTGGGCTTGAACCAGGGACACTCTGCACACATTGCCTACAGTCACCCTCTAAGCATCGTTACCTATCACTCCACAAAAGCTGCGGTCCTTGCAGAGCATGGGAAACAACTTCTTCAAGGACTCAGAGCGAGTGACGTCTCCGATTTCACACCGGTTACACTTGCATATTTGCATAGTAGCAACAGCAAAAATATATCTATAATATATGAAAATGTAGCTAGACCCTTACCCGTATACATGGATGAAAGCTTCACGGCAGCCATTTAACTAAGTTTTGTTTGTGGTTACATTTTGTGTGGCCCACGTTGTCAAGTCACTCCGGTTCACACTGACCTTAGTAGTAGTCCATCACAACTTTCTTTGTCGATAGCACCTGCTGAAATTCAGGGCAGCAGTGTTGTTGAGAGCAGTCCAACGTTATATAAAAAAAGACGCAGTAGACAGGATTATCGTGAAAGTGACAAACTGAAACGTTTTCATTTTTGTCAAAAACTACTTTATATCGAAGATGTCTTTCATTTGACGGCCTGCAAATACGCAGTTTGGCACGAGTCGACTGTTAGACCCAATGACGTGTTTCTACGCATGAGCTTAGCTAGACAACGTTGCCATGATTTTGCATACAAGTGTGATCGGGGATTTCTATTGGAGAAGCAGTTTCTTCCTATCTTCATACTGTACTGTCTTTGCCTTAGTGTCTTCAACCTAGGTGACAGCCCAGCGTTCTTCTGGCTTCTTATTAGCTTTTTTTATGTACAAACTTTAACTTTCAGTCATGAAATAGTGAACAAAAAGGTTAACTTAATGTTTAATTCCTTTTTTTGAAACTTTTTGCGGAAGCGAGAGGTCACCAGGAAGTGACATTTCATTGACCTTTCGCCTCTCACGCACTCCTCCTGTGGTTGTGCCAAGGGGCCAGGGTTCTGGTGTAGAAGCAAGGTTTCGACTTCTCCTTCAGTTTTGCTTCGGTATTGCAGTTTAACTGACGCCCGGCCCAGAAAGACTATTTCCATACACGGCCTCATAGAGATGTCAGATTTGAACATTCCTAATAAGACACTTTAGTCATCACATTTGTGCACTAAACATCCATTGAATTATTCAAATAATTGTAGCTGAGGCCAATAATTTTTCTTCTTCTTCCCATAACGCACAACTGAAGATATTAACATTATTTATTGATTCAATGTCTGACGTTCTGTTTTGTGTCCGTGTTCTTTTTGATAATTTAGGCATGTTTATAAATCCTTTATAAATTGGAAAATAGATTTTACTTTACTAAGACGGGAAATAATTCATACATAGACCTTTCATGTGTGCGTTATAGACCAGTATGACCAACTTAATTGTGATGTGGAGGAGGGCTGTTAATGAGTTAAGAAAGCATCAAAATATGAGCCTCAACTACACAATTTCATCCGTAAAATTTACTCTAGGGATTCAACCGTGTGGGGATCTTCATGCACCATTGACCTCAGTGAGAAGAAGAAAAGGTAAGTCACAGGCCGGTGGGGGAAATGGGGCTGGTACAGGCCTTATAAAAATAAATATCAAAAGGCCAAATTTTCCTAAAATGGTTTGACCTTTTGGCCTATTCACTAGCACTGGTATGGCAGAAGAACACTTTGAGAACAGCCATAATGCTGTAGCTACTTTGTCATTGTAATAATGCATCTATTAAGATACCAAAATATGAGCTCTCGCATAGCATGACATGAATGCGCTATAGATATGCTATGAATACATTTCATTAACCTTTAATAATGCGGTTGGGGACCAGTTATAACACGTTCATGAAATGCTTATAGATGTGTAATAAATGCGTTAAAAAAGGACAATTAGGCACTTAAAAATAAACGTCTTCATTGGAGGATAGGATGACAGGCTTTGGCGCAGGCATTTACATTATTGTTACCTGATTAAAGTTCACATAGTTTATGTAGATAATCCCTACTTTTGTTGTATAACCCACAGTAAAATAATGCATGAGCTTCAGTTTCAAAGGAAACCATCGTTACAAAAAGTACATACACGTTTATCTAGGGGAGTGTTTTGTATCGACCAGTCTCAATTGAGAGAGGGGCCACTCCACATCTAACTTTGGCAAAAGAGCTTTGATATTGCTTGGATAAAACAGTACGTACCTAGGGTTCTGTCCCAAAAGTGCATTTAAAAAGGCAGCAGGTGTGCAGTTTGTTACTTTAGGTTTGTTTATTAGTTGGTACCACTTTAGTTCAATGCTCTCTAAAAGTGCTGATTCAAAAGCATTACGGTCATTTCTAGAATACCCTGTCTATATCAGTTAACTCAATCATATGGATGGAGTTTAAAAAGGATTTGGCATGGTATATAAAACATATTATTTGTAGTAGCAACATCACAATCCCATAAAAATTGACGTTTACATAGACTTTCATTTGACATACTGCAAAATCTCTGCAAATTTAAAAGAAATACATAGCCATATACAGTTGAAGTCGGAAGTTTACATACACCTTAGCCAAATACATTTAAACTCAGTTTTTCACAATTCCTGACATTTCATCCTAGTAAAAATTCCCTATTTTAGGTCACTTAGAATCACCACTTTATTTTTAGAATGTGAAATGTCAGAATAATAGTAGAGAGAATGATTTATTTCAGCTTTTATTTCTTTCATCACATTCCCAGTGGGTCAGAAGTTTACATACACTCAATTAGTATTTGATAGCATTAACATTAAATTGTTTAACTTGGGTCAAATGTTTCGGGTAGCCTTCCAAAGCTTCCCACAATAAGTTGGGTGAATTTTGGCCCATTCCTCCTGACAGAGCTGGTGTAACTGAGTCAGGTTTGTAGGCCTCCTTGCTCGCACATGCTTTTTCAGTTCTGCCCACAAATATAGGATTGAGGTCAGGGCTTTGTGATGGCCACTCCAATACCTTGTCTTTGTTGTCCTTAAGCCATTTTGCCACAACTTTGGAAGTATGCTTAGGGTCATTGTCCATTTGGAAGACCCATTTGCCACCAAGCTTTAACTTCTTGACTGATGTCTTGAGATGTTGCTTCAATATATCCACATAATTTTCCTTCCTCATGATGCCATCTATTTTATGAAGTGCACCAGTCCCTTCTGCAGCAAAGCACCCCCACAGCATGATGCTGCCAACCCCCGTGCTTCACAGTTGGGATGGTGTTCTCCGGCTTGCAAGTCCCCCTTTTTCCTCCAAACATAACGATAACAGTTCTATTTTTGTGTCATCAGACCAGAGGACATTTCTCCAAAAAGTATGATCTTTGTCTCTTAGTGCAGTTGCAAACCGTAGTCTGGATTTTTTATGGCGGTTTTGGAGCTGTGGCTTCTTCCTTGCTGAGTGGCCTTTCAGGTTATGTCGATATAGGACTCGTTTTACTGTGGATATAGATACTTTTGTACGTGTTTCCTCCAGCATCTTCACAAGGTCCTTTGCTGTTGTTCTGGGATTGATTTGCACTTTCCGCACCAAAGTACGTTCGTCTCTAGGAGACAGAACGCATCTCCTTCCTGAGCGGTATGACGGCTGCGTGGTCCCATGGTGTTTATACTTGTGTACTATTGTTTGTACAGATGAACGTGGTACCTTCAGGCATTTGGAAATTGCTCCCAGGGATGAACCAGACTTGTGGAGGTCTACAATTTTTTTTCTGAGGTCTTGGCTTATTTCTTTTCATTTTCCCATGATGTCAAGCAAAGAGGCACTGAGTTTGAAGGTAGGCCTTGAAATACATCCACAGGTACACCTCCAATTGACTTAAATTATGTAAATTAGCCTAGCAGAAGCTTCTAAAGCCATGACATCATTTTCTGGAATTTTCCAAGCAGTTTAAAGGCACAGTCAACTTAGTGTATGTAAACTTCTGACCCACTGGAATTGTGATACAGTGAATTATAAGTGAAATAATCTTTCTGTAAACAATTGTTGGAAAAATTACCTGTGTCGTGCACAAAGTAGATGTCCTAACCGACTTGCAAAAACGATAGTTTGTTAACAAGAAATTTGTGGAGTAGTTGAAAAAAGAGTTTTAATTACTCCAACCTAAGTGTATGTAAACTTACGACTTCAACTGTAGTTTTCTAGCCCATATCGCCATGAATAGCAGCATTTGGTATGTTAGCATTCAAATGAAGTACAGTTGTGCAATGTCTGTATATGTAACAACTAGGGGTGTAACGATCCATCTACTACCATCGATGTATCGATTTATATTCCTATGGTCCAACTACATCGATCTGTGCTCGGCGAGTTGGCCTTTTGGACAACATATATCAATCTAACATCGTTTTAAAATGTAATAAATCGATTGTATCGATACTAGGAAATAACCCATTGGATTTAAGCACGTCAGACTTTATATGGATGTTTTTTCTTAGCACTTTTAATGATAAAGGCTTTAAACATTACTCGATTCAGTCTGCCTATCCGTGACGTCATCGCCCCGCGCCAGCAGTAGCGCAAAGGCACAAAGACAACAAAACATAGCATGGCGGACGACAGAGGAGAAGCCGACGAGCAAGAAATTATCAAGCCACCATTGCGGTCCTTACAAGAAACAGGAATCTAGGAAACTTCACCTGCACTGTCCAGTATCCAGGTATTTATTTCAGTCACACTGGTTGAATTTTTGGCTAAAAGGTTACTGAATCGATTTCAAGTCACTGAATCGTTTCGGATCGTATCGTTCTAAATGAACCAATATCGTCCTTGAATCGTATCGACAACCACAAATCGTGATACAAATCGAATCGTTGTTAAAGCGAATCGTTACACCCCTAGTAACAACCCTTCAGTTTACACAGCAGATGGATTGATGTTTGCTAAAGGTAAATGTACTCAAGTGCTGTTGCTATTGTCATGCTTCTTTCACACAGCAGGTTAGGAGTGCATTTTCAGATGGGTGTAGGTTAGTACTTCTTATGGGATCTGCATGTTTCCACAGATCACCATAGCAATTATGATAGCGCTTGCGGAATTCAAATATTGGCGGCTTGAAAGCAAACCAAAATACACTTAAGAAGCACTTAGTTTATGAACACCTGGTGCACAGCATTTAGACTTGGTTGTGGTAAAGTACAATCATCACTTAGTGTGAGAGTGGACTAAATAATATTTTCTGTCCTACATTAGGAACACATCGTGATGCAGCTGAAGTGTAAACTACAAGAATCAATGGATCTCTCACTCAAGACCCCCAACAGCTCATTCCTCCCAGGTAAATGAAACAGACCAAATGCTTTACCTATTCCAATATAGTTAAAGTCAAGTCAAGTACTCATCAGAACAAGTCTGGAAACCATGTCCACTTTATCTTGAGCTGCATTTAGCTTGTGTCATAAGTACATGTTTTGAAGCTATACATCACTCACATTACTTACAATCTTGTTGTTTGTAAACAAATGAGTAATACACCTTTATCTTTTGGGTTATAATAAAGTAAGACAACAACACAACATTTCTGCATAAAATGACTAAAGAAACCCCAATATTGGATAACAGCTAGATAGCTTTTTACTTAAAGGACAAGTTCAGGATTTTACAACTTGATGTTAGATGGTTCCTTCCCCTAAAAGTAGTCTATGGGCCAGGAGAAATTGTAATCCATGTTTGGTTTTCTTTAAACAGCCACTACAAACGTCAGCTAAATTTAGCCATAACACATACATTTTTCCAGCAGCAGACTATGATCAATAATGTCAAAAGCCGCACTGAAGTCAAACAAAACAGCCCCCACAATCTTTTCATCATGAATTTCTCTCAACCAATCATCAGTCATTTGTGTAAGTGCTGTGCTTGTTGAATGTCCTTCTCTATAAGTATGCAGAAAGTTTGTTGTCCATTTGTTTACTGTAAAATAGCATTGTATCTGGTCAAACACAATTTTTTCCAATAGTTTACTAAGGGTTGGTAACAGGCTAATTGGTCGGCTATTTGAGCCTGTAAAGGGGGCTTTACTATTCTTAGGTAGCGGAATGACTTTTGCTTCCCTCCAAGCCTTGGGGCACATACAGTAGGGAAAAAAAGTATTTAGTCAGCCACCAATTGTGCAAGTTCTCCCACTTAAAAAGATGTAAGAGGCCTGTAATTTTCATCATAGGTACACGTCAACTATGACAGACAAATTGAGAAAAAAAAAAGCAGAAAATCACATTGTTGGATTTTTTATGAATTTATTCAATTAAGTATTTGGTCAATAACAAAAGTTTCTCAATACTTTGTTATATACCCTTTGTTGGCAATGACACAGGTCAAACGTTTTCTGTAAGTCACACACTGTTGCTGGTATTTTGGCCCATTCCTCCATGCAGATATCCTCTAGAGCAGTGATGATTTGGGGCTGTCGCTGGGCAACACAGACTTTCAACTCCCTCCAAAGATTTTCTATGGGGTTGAGATCCGGAGACTGGCTAGGCCACTCCAGGACCTTGAAATGCTTCTTACGAAGCCACTCCTTCGTTGCCCGGGCGGTGTGTTTGGGATCATTGTCATGCTGAAAGACCCAGCCACGTTTCATCTTCAATGCCCTTGCTGATGGAAGGAGGTTTTCACTCAAAATCTAATTATACATGGCCCCATTCATTCTTTCCTTTACATGGATCAGTCGTCCTGGTCCCTTTGCAGAAAAACAGCCCCAAAGCATGATGTTTCCACCCCCATGCTTCACAGTAGGTATGGTGTTCTTTGGATGCAACTCAGCATTCTTTGTCCTCCAAACACGACGAGTTGAGTTTTTACCAAAAAGTTCTATTTTGGTTTCATCTGACCATATGACATTCTCCCAATCCTCTTCTGGATCATCCAAACGCACTCTAGCAAACTTCAGACGGGCCTGGCGGCATAGTGTGTTACTGATGGTAGGCTTTGTTACTTTGGTCCCAGCTCTCTGCAGGTCATTCACTAGGTCCCCCCGTGTGGTTCTGGGATTTTTGCTCACCGTTCTTGTGATCATTTTGACCCCACGGGCTGAGATCTTGCGTGGAGCCCCAGATCGAGGGAGATTATCAGTGGTCTTGTATGTCTTCCATTTCCTAATAATTGCTCCCACAGTTGATATCTTCAAACCAAGCTGCTTACCTATTGCAGATTCAGTCTTCCCAGCCTGGTGCAGGTCTACAATTTTGTTTCTGGTGTCCTTTGACAGCTCTTTGGTCTTGGCCATAGTGGAGTTTGGAGTGTGACTGTTTGAGGTTGTGGAAAGGTGTCTTTTATACTGATAACAAGTTCAAACAGGTGCCATTAATACAGGTCACGAGTGGAGGACAGAGGAGCCTCTTAAAGAAGAAGTTACAGGTCTGTGAGAGCCAGAAATCTTGCTTCTTTGTAGGTGACCAAATACTTATTTTCCACCATAATTTGCAAATAAATTCATACAAAATCCTAAAATGTGATTTTCTGGATTTTTTTTCCTCAATTTGTCTGTCATAGTTGACGTGTACCTATGATGAAAATTACAGGCCTCTCTCATCTTTTTAAGTGGGAGAACTTGCAAAATTGGTGGCTGACTAAATACTTTTTTCCCCCACTGTATGTCATTTATCCTTGTTTCATAGTGTTGTTTCTTCTTCTTTTTATTCAGTTTAGTCACATGATTTCTCAATTTGCAATACGTTTGCCAATCGTTTGTGCAGCCAGACTTATTTGCCTTTCCTTTTGCCTCATCCCTCTCAACCATACCATTTTTCCACAGGGATTTAACCGTTTTTACAGTCATTTTCTTAATGGGTGCATGCTTATTAGTAACTGGAATAAGCTATTTCATAAATGTGTCAAGTGCATTGTCTGTCTGCTCCACACCACGGACCAACATATGTTCTTTACATCAACATCATAGGAATCACTACAAAACTTATTGTATGACCTCTTATACCCAATATTAGGCCCAGCTTTTGGAACTTTGGTTTTCCTAGATATGGCTACTATATTGTGATCACTACATCAAATGGATTTGGATACTGCTTTCAAACAAATCTCTGCAGCATTAGCAAAGATATGATCAATACATGTTGATGATTTAATGATTGTACTGTTTGTAACTACCCTGGTAGGTTGACTGATAACCTGAACCAGGTTGGAGGCACTGGTTACAGTTTGAAGCTTTCTCTTGAGTGGGCAGCATGATGAAAGCCAGTCAATATTTAAATCACCCAGAAAGTATACATCTCTATTGTTATCACATACATTTTCAAGCATTTCACACGTTATCCAGATACTGACTGTTAGCACTTGGTGGTCTATAGCAGCTTACCACCAGAATTAGCTTTAGGTGAGGCAGATGAACCTGTAGCCATATTACTTCAACAGGAATGTGGTTCTGAATATAAACAGCAACACCTCCACCGTTGGCATTTCGATCTTTTATGTAAATGTTATAACCTTGTATTGCTACCACTGTATCCTCAAAGGTATTATCTAAGTGAGTTTCAGAGATAGTCAGAATATGAATGTCATCTGTTACTAGCAAATTATTGATTTCATGAACCTTGTTTCTTAAGTTACATATATTAATGTGGGCTATTTTGAGCACTTTTCTTCTGGGATGCCTGTTTTTATTGCTTTACTGGGAAGCTTAGCAGCAGTAGATGTGGTCATGTTCTTTATGTTAGTGCAGGTTGAGCTGCACACAGTGGCCTTCCTCCTCGGGCACAACGGCTCAGTGCTAACAGTACAAATCTGGTTCTTAGGCACATGATTACTGCATACAATAGCTGTAGGATCAGCAGAGGCATTCAGGGCAGTTAGAGGGACATAAATTAGGTTACTTAAATTGTGTCTACTGAAGCTCCTGTTGTAATGTACATTTGCTGAAGCATTTTGACAACTCTGCGTCACAACGGTAGGGATTAGCTGAGCTGGGCTTGGGTCCTTGCTAAGTCATTGTCTCAACGCAGCCTTATAATGCTGTGAAAGGATCCAGGAACCCAAATGATTTCGGTCATTTGAGCATGTGTTTTTTGTTCTTAAAATTAAATGGTCAAATCACCTTAAAGTAACATCAAACCGAATACGAAGTTGATTTCATGTGATTTGGCCACCATCTAACATCAAGTTGTAAAACCCTGAATTTACCGTTTAAAAGCTTATGCTTGTCCTGAATCCTTTCTCTTATGCAGATGATGTCACTGTGGAGTATAACAAGATGAAGATGTGCTATGAGAAACTGATGGGTTGCTCTAGTACAGTACAATTCACAACAAGACTGGATTTGCACACAAAAACTACCGCATTTGAATCGCAGTCTGGGAATGGTAGGAAGCGTGTACAGGTATGTTTGTGGGGAGTTGATTAACCACATCTCAACCATAGCAATTTAGTCTGAGAGTATTTGATCCCATGTACTAGGGTTGATTGGTCTTCCTTTTTCTGTTACAGGTGCCAACAAGTGTAACAATGTTAACTCCTGAGATTGACAGAGAATTTACAACACATAACCGCAAGCCTACTTATAGGTAACAATTGATCACTGAAACGTCCACTACTTTATCATGGCCTTATCCTATGGTCATGTTTACCACTAATCCAGAGGAGGTTGGTGGGAGGAGCTATAGGAGGACGGGCTCATTGTAATGGCTGGAATGAATAAATGGAACGGTATGAAACACATCAAACATATGGAAATCACACGTTTGACTCCGTTCCATTCATTCAATTCCTGCCGTTACAATGAGCCTGTCCTATAGCGCCTCCCACCAGCCTCCTCTGTACTAATCAGTTCAACACAGAATCTACAAAGAAATTTGATTTAAAAAAGAGTTTACAACTGTCACGTTTGGCCTTCGTCTGCCTTGCAGGCTCCAATGCCCCAAGGCAGGTCTTTTCCAGTGCAGTTCCACTGGACTGGTGTTTCTGATGGAAGGGAAGGGAGATGTGCTTTACATGATGACTCAATGGGACAGCAGCCTCCTGGGCTCCAGGATACCTGCAGGACCCCTATTCAGCATTGAATGCCCTGAACAGTCTGTCCGCCAACTGCATTTCCCACACTGTATCTGTGATTGTAAGTGATGCACCACTGTATGTGTGATGGTAAGTGATGTAATCAAATTAGATTTATTTGTCACATGCGCCGAATACAACAGGTGTGGACCTTACCGTGAAATGCTTACTTACAAGCCCTTAACCAACAATGCAGTTCAAGAAATAGAGTTAAGAAAATATTTACTAAATAAACTAAAGTAAATACTTCAAAGTAACACAATAAAATACAATACCGAGGCTATATACAGGGGGTACCGGTACCGAGTCAATGTGCGGGGGTACAGGTTAGTCGAGGTCATTTGTAAAGTGACTATGCATAGATAATAAACAGCAAGTAGCAGCAGTGTAAAAACAAAGGGGGGTGTCAATGTAAATAGTCCGGGTGGCCATTTTGATTCATTGTTCAGCAGTCTAATGGCTTGGGGGTAGAAGCTGTTAAGGATCCTTTTGGACCTAGACTTGGCGCTCCGGTACCGCTTGCCGTGCGGTAGCAGAGAGAACAGTCTATGACTTGGGTGACTGGAGTCTTTGACAATTCTTTGGGCCTTCCTCTGACACCACCTGGTATATAGGTCCTGGATGGCAGGAAGCTTGGCCCCAGTGATGTACTGGGCCGTATGCACTACCCTCTGTAGCGCCTTACGGTCGGATGCAGAGCAGTTGCCACACCAGGTGGTGATGCAACCGATCAGGATGCTCTCGATGTTGCAGCTGTCGAACTTCTTGAGGATCTGGGGACCCATGCCAAATCTTTTCAGTCTCCTTTGGGGGAAAAGGTGTTGTCTTAACCTCACGACTGTCTTGGTGTGTTTGGACCATGATAGTTTGTTGGTGATGTGGACACCAAGGAACTTGAAACTCTTGACCCGCTCCACTACAGCCCCGTCAATGTTAATGGGGGCTTGTTTGGCCCTCCTTTTTGTTTGGCCCTCCACCACACTGCCAGGACTCTGACTTCCTCCCTATAGGCTGTCTCATCGTTGTCAGTGATCAGGCTGTTGTGTCGTCAGCAAACTTAATGATGGTGTGGATCTGTTGGGGCGGTATGCGAATTGGAGTGGGTCTAGGGTTTCCGGGTGATGGTGTTGATGTGAGTCATGACCAGCCTTTCAAAGCACTTCATGGCTACCGACGTGAGTGCTATGGGGCGGTAGTCATTTAGGCAGGTTACCTTTGCTTTCTTGGGCACAGGGACTATGGTGGTCTGCTTGAAACTTAGGAATTACAGACTCGGTCAGGGAGAGGTTGAAAATGTCAGTGAAGACACTTGCCAGTTTGTCCGCGCATGCTCTGAGTACATGTCCTGGTAATCCATCTGGCCCCGCGGCCTTGTGAATGTTGACCTGTTTAAAGGTCTTGCTCACATCGAGAGCGTGATCACACAGTCGTCCGGAACAGCTGGTGCTCTCATGCATGCTTCAGTGTTGCTTACCTCGAAGCGAGCATAAAATAAATGTAGCTCGTCTGGTAGGCTTGCGTCACTGGGCAGCTTGTGGCTGAGTTTTCCTTTGTAGTCCATAATAGTTTGCAAGCCCTGCCACATCCGACGAGCGTCAGAGCCGGTGTAGTAGGATTCAATCTTAGTTCTGTATTGACGCTTTGTTCGTCTGAGGGCATAGCGGGATTTCTTAAAAGCATCCGGATTAGTGTCCCGCTCCTTGAAAGCAGCAGCTCTAGCCTTTAGCTCGGTACGGATGTTCCCTGCAATCCATGGCTTCTGGTTGGGATATGTACGCACGGTCACTGTGGGGACGACGTCGTCGATGCACTAATTGATGAGGCCGGTGACTGAGGTAGTATACTCCTCAATGCCATTGGATGAATCCCGGAACATATTCCAGTCTGTGCTAGCAAAACAGTCCTGTAGCATAGCATCCGCGTCATCTGACCACTTCCGTATTGAGCAAGTCACTGGTACTTCCTGCTTTAGTTTTTGCTTGTAAGCAGGAATCAGGAGGATATAGCTTTGTATGCATCTCTGTGTGTGGAGTAAAGGTGGTGTAGAGTTTTTAGAATAATTTTTGTGGGTTGCACATGTGACATGCTGGTAGAAATGAGATACAACGGATTTATGTTTGCCTGCATTAAAGTACCCGGCCACTAGGATGAGCATTTCCTTGTTTGCTTATGTCCTTATACAGCTCGTTGAGTGCGGTCTTAGTGCCAGCATCGGTTTGTGGTGGTAAAAAGACGGCTACGAAGAATATAGATGAAAACTCTTGGTAGATAGTGTGGTCTACAGCTTATCATGAGGTACTCTACCTCAGGCGAGCAATACCTCGAGACTTCTTTAATATTAGACATCACACCAGCTGTTATTGACCAGACGTAGCTGTTCTGTCCTTCCAATGCACGGAAAACCCTGCCAGTGTCATCGTTCAGCCACGACTTGGTGAAACATAAGATATTACAGTTTTTAATGTCCCGTTGGTAGGATAGTCTCGAACGGAGATCATCCAGCTTATTTTCCAGTGATTGCACGTTGCCAATAGAACGGATGGTGAGGCGGGTTACCCACTGCCTACAAATTCTCACAAGGCACCCCGATCTCCTACCCCTGTATTTCCTTATTTTATTGACGCGATTGACGGGGATTTGGGCCTGGTCTTGGAGAAGCAGTATATCCTTCGCGTCGGACGCATTAAAGAAAAAATCTTTGTCCAGTTAGAGGTGAGTAATCGCTGTTCTGATATCCAGAAGCTCTTTTCGGTCATAAGAGACGGTAGCAGCAACATTATGTACAAAATAAGTAACAAACACTGCGAAAAAACAAACAAAATAGCACAGATGGTTAGTAGCCCGTAAAACGACTGCCATCCCCTATGGCGCCATGTGTGATGGTAAGTGATGCATCACTGTATCTGTGATGGTAAGTGATGCATCAATGTATGTGGGAAGGTAAGTGATGCATTATTTCAGTATATTGATTGTTTTATACATACACAATATAAAGATTATTCTAATAATAAAATAATAAAATGGGTAAAGTGCCTTGCAAAGGTAATCATCCTCCTTGGCGTTTTTCCTATTTTGTTGTATTACAACCTGTAATTTAAATGGATATTTATTTGGATTTCATGTAATGGACATACACAAAATAGTCCAAATTAGTGAAGTGGAATGAAAAAAATAACTTGTTTAAAAAAAGAAGAAGGTACTCTGGTCAGATGAGACTAAAATTGAGCTTTTTGGCCATCAAGGAAAACGCTATGTCTGGTGCAAACCCAACACCTCTCATCCCCAGTGAAGCATGGTGGTGGCAGCATCATGCTGTGGGGATGTTTTCCATTGAAGGAATGATGGATGGCGCTAAATACATGGACATTCTTGAGGGAAACCTGTTTCAGTCTTCCAGAGATTTGAGACTGGGACGGAGGTTCACCTTCCAGCAGGACAATGACCCTAAGCATCCTGCTAAAGCAACATTCGAGTGGTTTAAGGGGAAACATTTAAATGTCTTGGAATGGCCTAGTCAATGCCCAGACCTCAATCCAATTGAGAATATGTGGTATGACTTAAAGATTGCTGTACACCAGTGGAACCCATTCCAACTTGAAATTGCTGCAAAAGGTGGCTCTACAAAGTATTGACTTTGGGGGGGGTGAATAGATATGCATGCTCAAATTTTCTGTTTTGTTGTCTTATTTCTTGTTTGTTTCACAATAAAAAATATTGTGCATCTTCAAAGTGTAGGCATATTTTGTAAATCAAATGATACAAACCCCAAAAAACTCCATTTTAATTCCAGGTTGTAAGGCAACAAAATAGGAAAAATGCCAAGGGGGGTGAATACTTTCGCAAGCCACTGTATAACATGACACTACCATTGAATAATACATTCAATAATAATACATAATTTGGATGAGACTTAGTCAATTAAAGCATTGTTCTTGTTCTGCAGGGGAGAATGACATTTTGTCCGTGGCCCATGTAACTGATGGCAACATGGAGATTGTTCAGCCACTCAAGACAACTGCTACACACGTGATTGTAAACATCACACACCTCTCCCTCTTTGGCCTCATCGGAAATTGGTTCTCCTTCCTCCCGGTGCGAAGCCAGGTGCTGCTGTTCCTCCGACCACAAGGGAACAGATCCCAGAAGCGCACACTGAATGTTATTTTGTTGCCCAAGAATGTGCCACTTTGTGAGGTAATATTTACAGTAAGAAGGAATTCATTCTGCACACTGCAAGAGCTGTTTTGTAGAATGAAAATGAACCTAGATATTGCTATAGCTGGATAAATGGTGGTAAAATGGCTCATTACCATTACTTGATTTCTCTCAGAACTGTTAGTGTGAATGTACACTGCTCAAAAAAATTAAGGGAACACTTAAACAACACAATGTAACTCCAAGTCAATCACACTTCTGTGAAATCAAACTGTCCACTTAGGAAGCAACACTGATTGACAATAAATTTCACATGCTGTTGTGCAAATGGAATAGACAACAGGTGGAAATTATAGGCAATTAGCAAGACACCCCCAATAAAGGACTGGTTTTGCAGGTGGTGACCACAGACCACTTCTCAGTTCCTATGCTTCCTGGCTGATGTTTTGGTCACTTTTGAATTCTGGCGGTGCTTTCACTCTAGTGGTAGCATGAGACAGAGTCTACAACCCACACAAGTGGCTCAGGTAGTGCAGCTCATCCAGGATGGCACATCAATGCGAGCTGTGGCAAGAAGGTTTGCTGTGTCTGTCAGCGTAGTGTCCAGAGCATGGAGGCGCTACCAGGAGACAGGCCAGTACATCAGGAGATGTGGAGGAGGCCGTAGGAGGGCAACAACCCAGCAGCAGGACCGCTACCTCCGCCTTTGTGCAAGGAGGAGCAGGAGGAGCACTGCCAGAGCCCTGCAAAATGACCTCCAGTAGGCCACAAATGTGCATGTGTCTGCTCAAACAGTCAGAAACAGACTCCATGAGGGTGGTATGAGGGCCCGACGTCCACAGGTGGGGGTTGTGCTTACAGCCCAACACTGTGCAGGACGTTTGGCATTTGCCAGAGAACACCAAGATTGGCAAATTCGCCACTGGCGCCCTGTGCTCTTCACAGATGAAAGCAGGTTCACACTGAGCACGTGACAGACGTGACAGAGTCTGGAGATGCCGTGGAGAACATTCTGCTGCCTGCAACATCCTCCAGCATGACCGGTTTGGCGGTGGGTCAGTCATGGTGTGGGGTGGCATTTCTTTGGGGGGCTGCACAGCCCTCCATGTGCTCGCCAGAGGTAGCCTGACTGCCATTAGGTACCGAGATGAGATCCTCAGACCCCTTGTGAGACCATATGCTGGTGCGGTTGGCCCTGGGTTCCTCCTAATGCAAGACAATGCTAGACCTCATGTGGCTGGAGTGTGTCAGCAGTTCCTGCAAGAGGAAGGCATTGATGCTATGGACTGGCCCGCCCGTTCCCCAGACGTGAATCCAATTGAGCACATCTGGGACATCATGTCTCCCTCCATCCACCAACGCCACGTTGCACCACAGACTGTCCAGCAGTTGGCGGATGCTTTAGTCCAGGTCTGGGAGGAGATCCCTCAGGAGACCATCCGCCACCTCATCAGGAGCATGCCCAGGCATTGTAGGGAGGTCATACAGGCACGTGGAGGCCACACACACTACTGAGCCTCATTTTGACTTGTTTTAAGGACATTACATCAAAGTTGGATCAGCCTGTAGTGTGGTTTTCCACTTTAATTTTGAGGGTGACTCCAAATCCAGACCTCCATGGATTGATAAATTTGATTTCCATTGATCATTTTTGTGTGATTTTGTTGTCAGCACATTCAACTATATAAAGAAAAAAGTATTTAATAAGATTATTTCATTCATTCAGATCTAGGATGTGTTATTTTAGTGTTCCCTTTATTTTTATGAGCAGTGTATTTGATCAGTTTGCTCTGAAGTAATGCACCTATATTCTTCGAAGGTGGAACATCAACAGAAGGGGAGTACTTTCATTAAATCCAGCTCCAACTGCACATTGAGTCCTAGAGGAACATATGGTCTCTGCTGTGAGCTGGTGGCAAATTCTAGGATACAGCCAAAAGTAAGCATGGCCATCACACACAACCATACATTCCTATATGCACTAAGTGTACAAAACATTAAGGACACTTGCTCTTTCCATGAAAGACTGACCAGGTGCATCTAGGTGAAAGCTATGATCCTTTATTGATGTCACTTGTTAAATCCACTTCAATCAGTGTAGATGAAGGGGAGGAGACAGGTTAAATAATGATTTTTAAGCCTTGAGACAATTGAGATAGAGGGTGAATGGGCAAGACAAAAGTTTTAAGTGCCTTTTGAACGGGGTATGGTAGTTGGTTTGTGTCAAGAACTGCAACACTGCTGGGTTTTTCACGCTCAACAGTTTACCGTGTGTATCAAGAATGGTCCACCACTCAAAGGACATCCAGCCAAATTGACACTACTGTGGGAAGTGGGGGTGTGACTCAATATTAGGAAGGTGTCCTTAATGTTTTGTACACTCAGTGTAAGTATTCCTTTGTAATGTGCTATTACTGGTTTGTGGTGTTGGGTTTGATTAGTGGTTTTTATGTGCATATACCTGACACCATGAAGTTCCCACAGGAAAAAAAAGTTAAATGTGCTTTATGGCCAGCTACATTTATTTCTAGCTCTCTGTTTCTGTCTATATTTGGCTAATGTTATTTTTCATTTTGTGTTTCAGAGTGGGCGGTTTGACTATGACTATAGCCCAAACTTCCACCCCACATTTCAGGTGTTTTTGGACAGCATTTCAGGTGCAGAGAACATCAGACTGAGTCTTTTAGACAGAGGAAGTAACGACCAAAGAGTGTGGGAGTGTCTGGTTCCAGCAGGTTAGATCAAATGCCAGTTTGTTATTAACCTGTACACCCCTCACCCCCTACTTATTTAAACAGTATACAACACACTGTACACCCCTCACCCCCTACTTATTTAAACGGTATACAACACACTGTACACCCCTCGCCCCCTACTTATTTAAACTCTATACAACACACTGTACACCCCTCCTTATTTAAACTGTATTCAACACACTGTACACTCCTCACCCCCTACTTATTTAAACAGTATACAACACACTGTACACTCCTCGCCCCCTACTTATTTAAACTGTATTCAACACAAGGGATAAAATACATCTGATTTGATTTTCTTCTCCACAACTTCAGATTTCGTACCACCTCAAGTCAATCCAATCAACCCTAATCCAGGTAGGGTTTTGTTTTCTCTCTCATTGTCTATGGCTATACCTCTGATATGGAATGTGTTTTAGTCTTGTCTTACGCAAAATAATCAATCATTGTTATTTTTATGTAGAGCATCAAGTGATCAGTCTTGTTAAGAGAGACACATTCTGGTCATTAAATATGTTTTGGTGTATTTACTGGCTTGTTATGTAGAACATATATTTTCTTCAGGGATTTAGTTGAATATGGCTCTAATAATATGACCTAGTTGTGTAAGCATTTTCTGATATGAATCTCAGGTGCTGAGGCTGAACTGAACCAGCTCACAGATGCAGCTTTTGTGGATAAGCACATGGCTGATCTCATTCAGAGGGTCAAGATGGTGCAGCATGTAGCAGATGACCTCGTTATGGAGGAAGTGATCCAAGATGAATTGTATTCAAGAATCTGCAGTGCTGATAACACTGAGAAACAAATAAGACTAATGTTTGATGCTGTACAAGCAGGAGGAACAAGAGCGAAATCTGCCTTCTACAAAGCTCTCCAAAAACATGAACCTCGTCTTGTCCAGGACCTGGGTAAGATCAAACTCTTCTAGTCCCCTGTAGCTCAGTTGGTAAAGCATGGCGCTTGCAACACCAGGATAGTGGGTTCACTTCCCAGGACCACCCATACGTAAAAACATATGCATAAATATAAATAATCCCTTTGGATTAAAGCGTTTGATAAATGTAATACACAGTTGAAGTCGGAAGTTTACATAACCTTAGGTTGGAGTCATTAAAACCACTCCACACATTTCTTGTTAACAAACTATAGTTTTGGCAAATCGGTTAGGACATCTACTTTGTGCATGACACAAGTAATTTTTCCAACAATTGTTTACAGACAAATTATTTCACTGTATCACAATTCCAGTGGGTCAGAAGTTTACAAACACTAAGTTGACTTTGCCATTAAACAGCTTGGAATATTCCAGGAAATTATGTCATGGCTTTAGAAGCTTCTGATAGGCTAATTGACATAATTTGAGTCAATTGGAGGTGTACCTGTGGATGTATTTCAAGGCCTACCTTCAAACTCAGTGCCTCTTTGCTTGACATCATGGGAAAATCAAAAGAAATCAGCCAAGACCTCAAAAAAAACATTGTAGACCTCCACAAGTCTGGTTCATCCTTGGGAGCAATTTCCAAACGCCTGAAGGTACCACGTTCATCTGTACAAACAATAGTACGCAAGTATAAACACCATGGGACCATGCAGCCGTCATACCGCTCAGGAAGGAGACGCGTTCTGTCTCCTAGAGATGAACGTACTTTGGTGCGAAAAGTGCAAATCAATCCCAGAACAACAGCAAAGGACCTTGTGAAGATGCTGGAGGAAACAGGTACAAAAGTATATATATCCACAGTAAAATGAGTCCTATATCGACATAACCTGAAAGGCTGCTCAGCAAGGAAGAAGCCACTGCTCCAAAACCTCCATAAATAAGCCAGACTACGGTTTGCAGCTGCACATGGGGACAAAGATCGTACTTTTTGGAGAAATGTCCTCTGGTCTGATGACAGAAAAATAGAACTGTTTGGCCATAATGACCATCGTTATGTTTGGAGGAAAAAGGGGGAGCTTGCAAGCCGAAGAACACCATCCCAACCGTGAAGCACGGGGGTGGCAGCATCATGCTGTGGGGGTGCTTTGCTGCAGGAGGGACTGGTGCACTTCACAAAATAGATGGCATCATGAGGAAGGAAAATTCTGTGAATATATTGAAGCAACATCTCAAGACATCAGTCAGGAAGTTAAAGCTTGGTCGCAAATGGGTCTTCCAAATGGACAATGACCCCAAGCATACTTCCAAAGTTTTGGCAAAATGGCTTAAGGACAACAAAGTCAAGGTATTGCAGTGGCCATCACAAAGCCCTGACCTCAATCCTATAGAAAATGTGTGGGCAGAACTGAAAAAGCATGTGTGAGCAAGGAGGCCTACAAACCTGACTCAGTTACACAAGCTCTGTCAGGAGGAATAGGCCAAAATTCACCCAACTTATTGTGGGAAGCTTGTGGAAGGCTACCCAAAATGTTTGACCCAAGTTCAACAATTTAAAGGCAATGCTACCAAATACTAATTGAGTGTATGTAAACTTCTGACCCACTGGGAATGTGATGAAATAAATAAAAGCTGAAATAAATCATTCTCTCTACTATTATTCTGACATTTCACATTCTTAAAATAAAGTGGTGATCCTAACTGACCTAAGATAGGAAATTTTTACTAGGATTAAATGTTAGGAATTGTGAAAAACTGAGTTTAAATGTATTTGGCTAAGGTGTATGTAACTTCCGACTTCAACTGTATTACATTATTATTATTACTCTCCCACTATGAGTACCTGAAAAATGTAAAGTTCCTCAAAATAACCCTAATATTTCAAATAGACGGCCCGCACTTACGTCTTGTACAGACAGAACACATGAAGTCTTTGTCTGTCCATCAAAAGTTCAACTCATTTCAGCGTGTTTGGAATATTGCGTGCATTTCATTGCTCCCACTTTTTTCTTTAAACTTCTTAATTATTTTGTTGCATAAACAATCACTGCCTTCTTACAGACATCATACAATACATTGAAAGATCAGTTACAAGATCATTCCCACTACAATATTAATATTGTAAAGTATTGTCGCAGAGTTCAGTGCAGTTTTGTGGACAGAGAGTGTATTCTTATGTGTGTATTCAGTGTGTATTCCCATAGTGAAATCAAATCAAATGTTATTCGTCACATTCTCCGAATACAACAGGTGTAGACCTTCCAGTGAAATGCTTACTTACAAGACCTAACCAACAATGCAGTTTTAAGAAAATAAGTGTTAAGTAAACAATAGATAACTAAAAAATAAAAGCTGTAAAATAACACTAAAAATAACAGTAGCGAGGCTATATACAGGGGGTACCGGTACAGAGTCAATGTGTGGGGCCACCGGTTAGTCGAGGTAATTGCGGTAATATGTACATGTAGGTATAATTAAAGTGAATATGCATAGATGGTAAACAGAGAGTAGCAGCAGTGTAAAAAAGGGGGGGGGGGGGGGACAATGCAAATAGTTCAGGTAGCCAGGAGTCTTATGGCTTGGGGGTAGAAGCTGTTAAGAAGCCTTTTGGACCTAGACTTGGCGCTCCGGTAGTGTGTATTCTTCTGCATTTTTATGGGAAGTATGTACATTTACAATAACATTTCTAATCACATTCTTCTACCAATGGCAGCAGCAGCTTCCCACTGATGAATGGGATGGCTTGGGTTGGTCCTCGACCGCTGGACAAAGGGCAGCAAGTGGGCCCTCTTCAGGAGCAGGATATGAGAATACTACAGTCATTATGCTCCTAATCCGCATTGGAGTGTTGGGAGACATGACAGCAGAAAGTCTATGATGATTAAAACTTAAAACTGTTATAGTCTTGGTTAACCTGGAGAAATCCAGTGTGTTTGTGCTAACATTCCACTCCTTGTCAGGCCAAACAGTCTGGCTGTATGGCATGACAAGAATCATTCGTCACGTGCGCAGGATACACTGTGTGAGTGTGTACATTAATGAATATGAGTGTGCGTGAGTGTGTGGGTGGGAATGTGTGGAGTGGTGTGCATAGACAGCCAGTGATTGCAGGTAGACAGTCATTGATAAGCAGTTCAGCAGTCTTAATGCTTCAGAGCTCGCCCCCAGTGATGGACTGTGTAGTCTTCCCATCCTCTCTAAAGCCTTGTGGTGGAGGGCGGTGCAGCTGCCGTACCAGGTGGTGATACAGTAGAAGCTGGTGAGGATCTGAAGGGCTATGCCAAGTTTCTTTCAGCCGCCTGAGGAAGAACAGGTTCTTGTGGTGGTTCACTGGTGTGCCTTCTTGATAAATGCACCAAGGAGAGGCAAGGAGTGGAATGTTATCACAAACACACCAGATTTCTTCAGGCTAGTAATGTGTCCTAGTGTTTACAATAATTCTTAACCATGTTCATTTTTAAATGTCTTTTGTCTTCTTAATTCAATTTTTTCTTATTAATAGGGTATTGCATTTTCAAATTTTTCAAATGTACTTATATTAATGTAGTGAATATAAATTACTATTTTAATGTTGAAATGTTGACATTTAACACCATTCAGTTTCTACAAATGCGCTGAACTATAAGGGTGCTGAGTCATGTTATTAATAGTCCAGATTGTATGTTTCTGACTTGCTACTCCTGTTCTCTGGTGGTAGCCTACACAGGTCCAGCCACCACATATAGATAGAGGGAAATAAATATGCTAGAGGGAAAACTTTAACCTTGTCATGGTCCAATTGTTGCTGTTTACCAAAGTTTCCATTCTATTTCTCTGAAATGTTGCCTTACTCTACTTTTGGAATAGCAAGCCTCTATTGAAATGGTGTAGTCAGTATATTATATGCAATTTTGAGTGTTGTCATATATTTTTCGGTTTATTTAATTGGTCTGAATTTTCATATCTTATCAAAAAGTCCTTTATTACACAGATATTTACTAAGTATGTCTGCTATTGAATGGATGCATATTCTTTGAGCTACTACAGTTATTGAGATATTTTTATTTTAGTTTATTAATCATGTGTTGATGGTTTATTTTAATTAATTCAAAGGATTGATGTGGCTATTGTTTATGATTGAATTATTGGTTAATCATTTTATGCATGCTTTTATGCATAAATAATATCTGGATATGTTTCTTTCCAATTGACCATTTAACCAAAATGTTATATTTAGTAATTTTCTATTTTGGGTATTTTTTTGGGTATTGTTAAATTATTCCCTGCCATGTCCATTGTGGGGGAAAGGGGATATTTGAAAATCATGTCCTGTTATGGGTTTATTTCTCAATAAATAATGACTATAAATAGTTATGGTGTGGCGATTCCCTTCACATGAAATAACATGGTGTAGTGTTTAGGGTGAGGGGGGTTAATGATTGTACTAACAAAATAGCTACTATATGGTGAATAATTC